ATATGTACAAGATTATGTACAAGTTGTGTACACAAAAAAAAGTGCAAAATAGCATTGTTCACACGTCAAAAGTCACACACTTCTTACGTTTCTGTTTGTTGAGTATTTTCTCTGTGCATTTTCAGGACTCGAGTGCAGCCAAACCAATTTCTTATTTGCTCCTCTGGTATTTTGTCGCATACATAAAGGAGAGAGATATCATCAGGTCATAAACTCAAACTTTCAATTACAGAATCCAGGATGAAATCAGACATAAATACAAACACCTCAAGTCTCTGATTTGAAGCTGCTTTTGATGTGAAATCTCTCTGTTACTGTTTTATGAAATCTTACCAAAGAAATATAAAGCAAACAGGTCAAGAAATCACAAAACTGGCTGTGGGAGCTGTGTTACATCATGGAAATTGTCAAAATGCCAGAGGAAAAGTAATGGTGATTAAAAGACTGAGGATTTTGGATGAGATTTCTTGAGGTTCAGCTCAGCTGCATTTGGAAAAGTGTCTTTAAAGATCACTGATGTATTTGAAAAATACTTTTAACTACTTTAGTTTTACTTTAACACATGAATCAATTTTGAGGGCCAGCTAAGACTGAATATTCCCATGATAAGGCACGGGACATGGGGACAGACTGTGGTTCGAGTGCAACATCAACCAATTTCACCAGAAACACCAAAAGCTGCCTTTCTGTTTCACTGTATACCAGTCACATTCAAGAAAAAACTGCAATGGACTGCACTGTACTTTATGGAGAGGTAGATTTTTTTTACTCATAACTGCAGTAGCAGAGCCTTAAGGCAATAATCTTTACATCCCAAACAACAAAATCATAATAAACAAGAACAAAACAATAGGGTTCCCAGCAGCATTTGCTGCTTGGACCTCTAATCAAGAACAAGGATGACATTAAACTTGAACCACACGTAGAGGATCATTAACAGGGATGCACAGAGAAAAACAAAACGGAAACTTTGAACCTGGTAAGATTGTTTCCCTCGATTTTACTGGTCTCTTCATGTTGCTATTAAAGGAATAGTTCGACATTTTGAGAAATAATATATAGCTAACTCACAGGAAGCAGCCAGTTACTTTAGCTTAGCAAAAAGAAACAAGGAAAAACTAAAAATCTAGCCGGGCCTGGCAAAGGATAACTACCAGCACCTCTGAACCTCACTAATTACTAATATGTGTTTGTGTGCGCGTGTGCATGTGTGTGCGCGTGTGCATGTGTGTGTATGTGTCTATGTGTGTGTGTGTGTGTGTGTGTGTGTGTGTGTGTGTGTGTGTGTGTGTGTTTCCCATCTTCAATCCATCTCATCTAAGCAGGTGACTCGCCGGCTTGTAGTGCAGTGTGAGTTGGCGGGAGCTGTAGCCGGACATGCCGATCCCCATGAGACCCATCAGGATGGCCATACGCGGCATTGCAGGTCCCTCCCGGCTCTGCAGCACAGTCTGGGCTGCCTGAGTCTGAAAGAGAGAGCAGAGGTCACCATCACTGCCCAAATTTCAATACTTATACCATCAATTTATATTATATTATATTATCCAATTCATTTATGGATTGAGAAAATCATCCTTTGAATCACTTAGCGTTGTCATGTGCACATCCACTAAGCCTAAGTCAGATAGTAAAAACAGAATTCTCCTTCTTCTATGGATAAATCATTTAAACCCCATCAGACTATCTGAAGAATTCATTGTCACACAGTTGAAAACAAGACTGTTTTTCTTAGCTAGTGAATAGATGTTCACAACATATTGGGGATGCATGGTCCTCACAGGACAAGGACAATGTTATATTCTTGGTTATAAAAGTGCAAAGATGATATTATACTTTGAAGTTTGTTTACAGATATGCCATAACAGTCATTTGTGTAATCCTGACCTATTTTGAATTATCTAACATGAACTCTGATGAGCGGAGACACAGATAATGAGGTTTAACACCATCCAGTTTCAAAACAAACACACGCCATACTGTTCGTTTCTAAATCCAGCTGCAGGTCTCAAAAATACCCACCCAGGGTGATTGGGAACATGGATCTCATGCTACCCCTCTGGAGATCCAATTAGAGCGCATTTACCTGACCCTGGGGAGCTAAGACATCTCTGATTCAAATCCATTCAAAGACAAGCTGCTATAATCTTCTATTCTAAATCCCGCCATGACACAAACACAAATGGGCAATTGTACGTGTACCATGTTGACCTTCTCTTCAGGTGTGCATATGACGGTTTAACTCAAACCCGCATCTATTAATTTCATACCAAAAGCGGCATCAAGAGAAATCTTGAGCTTGTTATGTTGAAAATCTACACATTCATGTTCTGTTAGTTGTAATGCAACAACAACTGAAGCACAGGGATACGTGCAGGGCCTGAACAGTTGTTTGTTATTAGAGGCTCTAATGGAATTTACTCAACTGTTGCGCCACTGCAGATGTCCCTTGATGTCCAAGACTAATCATTAATCTATCTAAAGAAGAAAATCGCCCTAGAGCATCTTACGCACCTGGAGGTATCTAATATATCCAGGGGTCAGCCGAGGGATGCGAAAAAACATTGTTGTTGTTCTCTCCAGTGCTTCACAGCTGAGACCACAAAAACCCTCTCCGCAACCAGCGCTGGGGCTTTCTGCTAGGCAACTTTATCACTGGGAATCCCTTTGCTCCCTCGCCCGTTGGGTCTCTTTGGCCTTGGTCCTCTCCACCAGGCCGAGTGTGGCAGCAGCAGCAGCAGCAGCAGCTCTCCCTTGTGTCCGAAGTCACTCTCCTCACTCCCTCACTCAGATAAACCCACACCACACACACCTGCACTGTGATGATCTCCCTTGTGGGAGTTCAGTCCCTATAGGTAGTATATAAAGCCTTGGCTTCATCGCATAAGCTGGTCACATGGTGTTGTACTGTGTTTATGTGTGTCTTCGTGTGTAGCATTTGTGTCAGTGGGGGATTAGCAGAGCCACTGGAGCTGTGGTGGATTAATACACCTGTGAGAGATGTTCCAAGTCCATTGGCCACCAAGGGAAGAAACCCCATCAACGGATGACAAAGCAACGCTGTAATGACGTCTACAGGGGTCACAGTTTAACAGTCAGGTACAATTAAAAGGCAAATCGTATTGCAACAGTGGTACACAAGAGTCTTGCACAGGCGCCTATAGTCAAATGGAAGAAAATCATAAATCCTAATACAGCCAAATTTTTACAGTATCTCAGCCATAATCAGTTCATATCGGTTCTAAACTTAACTTATTCCTCCTCAGGGCCATGGCGGGAAGGTTGCAGCCTTTCCAAGCACGCACTGCATAAAGAGCAAGGAAACATCCTTGACTGGCCGCCACTCTTATCACTGATTGTGGGAGGACATATAGACATACTCAGTCATATTCATATCTATGGAAAGTTTGAAGCCTTCAACTTACCAGACATTGATGTTTTGTTGTTATTTATTAATTCATTTTCTGTATAACCAGATGACCATCATATATTCATCCCTTTTTCAAAAATGCCCATTGTAGAAGATGCATCAAGAAGCAACAAGACATTCAATTAAAAAGCTAATTACACAGCTAATTGCACAAAAATATAACTTAATATATAATTATAAATATTTACAGTATACAATGATTTAAGATAATGAAGCGAAATAACTCAGTTACTTCCTGAGGGGGTGAAGCCAAACGAAGATGTATGCTTTATTGACACAATTTGTGTTACACAATCTGTATAAAGGCAAAATAAAGATGTGTCTTTGAAGCCATCTCCAGCATCCTTTTGATGTAAAGCCTGGTTTCTAATACAGATTACAATTATTTTGTATAATATTCTGAAATCCATCTAACAATAACTGTCAGGAAGTGGAGTTCATCTGCTTCCCCTGCTTATCTCCCTGGTGTCACGAAAACACGGAATTGACACTGTTTCTTCTAAGAAGGATTTCACAGACTCATCAATGAAGGCATGCGATGCAGTGACAGGTTTCAAGATGTATTACAATAGGAAGAACATTTAATGGAAACTTATTAGCTGTACGGTATCCACTGTACCTTGCTCAGCGCTCACATTTTGAAAATACACCAAGCAAATAATACATTAAGCTGTAGGAGAAAAAAATATTTTCACTCAACGTACAAACAGGTTGGAGCCACAACGGTTATGCTGACATGTTCCTAAGTGTCTTTCTCACAGGAGAGCAGAGAGACCTCCTAAATCATTGTAAAGTACCACTGGAAACAGCCTAATAATTGTTTTGACAGACAGGTCAGGATCTCTTAACTCAAATGCCAAGAACGGATTAGCCCAACCTAACAGACATGCAAGACTGCTTTGAGGAAAATCTAATCACTTAATCACTCAAAAAACAATGCAATTAAAGTTTTATGTAAATTAGTCTCAGCTTATGTTATTCTTAGGCACAAGAAAACACGTTTCTTGAATGTCCCATCAAAAACAAGGACTTCAAGCTATCTACAGTCACAAGTCAAGTTACTGTGTTCACATTGGTTTGAGTTGTACTTATCAAGGCATTTCTTTAGCTGTAATGACAGGTTTGTTTTATTTTTAGTAGAGTTGTTTATTGTTTTAATGACACTGGTTGGGAGTCAGAGCAGAAAATTCTGCATGTGGCATTAAGATTTTATCATAAACTTTCTGTGTAACAAGATAATGCTGTTTAAAATTACTCAATGGAAGGGAGATCTTGTGTTGTTACTGTTAAAGAACACAATTATTTTGTATTTCCAAAGTCACTTTTGCAAGACAGTCAAATTATCTGGATGAATGATAAGTCCTGCTATCTTTGAAACATTTTTTACCTTATTTCATCGATAACACAAAGGCATTGCATCGGTTTATAACCCAAGCCGTAACCCAAGTCGGGATACGAAAATATGTTCAGTAAATTAATAAAATAAAGTAAAACGGGGATAAAACACAGGCACTTCTCTAGACAGTCGTTACGTCACACGCGTCATTACTGCGTGTTATCAGATGAAGAAGGACCCCAGAAAGCTCTAAAAACAGAACGCGGGCTAATGTAAACTTCGAAAACAGTCTATTTATAACCAAAGTTTCCTAGTAAATAAAAGTCAAAGAAGTAAATTTCGACATATATGTGGAATTAACGCTCTGTCGATGCTGTCTCATCACAGAAGAGTGAAGTTGTCCGTCTGAGCTGGTAAAAACTAGCTGGCTAACATAGCAAGCTAACAGCTAAGGCTGTTACAGCTGCGCAGTTTCGTTTCACAGAAAACTCCCACACTGACTCTGACCAGCCAAGTCTGTTTACTTTACCCGTGTTTCACTACAAAAACATATTTTGCAGATTGGCATGGGCCGACTTTACCTAACTTTGATAGCTGACCGCTGCTAGCTACAACAAAACCAAGAGGTAACGGTTCATATTTGCAGCAAGTTTGTCAGATTGCGATATTGTGACGTTTTCTATCGTCAAGTTGTGGCAACGTGGAGGAACAAGACACTGCTTGTTAAAAACCATGTTTTGCTGACCAGCTGTAGTTTACGCTTCTCATAAATGTAATGCTAGTACATGAAAGGCGCTGGGGCTGGGGATGACCAAGTGAGGTGTTTATATGTGCGTTTACGTGAAGACTTGTTGATAATATCAGTTTTCCATGGCTGTGCTGCTTTGCCCTACACCTGATATCATGACAGAAAATAAAATTCTCACACCCAGACATACATATTTTGCATGGTGTTTACCTGACAATTTCTTAAATATTGTTTTGAACACCCCAAAACACCAAAGAAAACGCAAATAAGCTACCTTTTGTTTACTTTGCTCAGTGTAAACCAATCGTTTACGAGCAGACTATTGGTGGCATTGTCCACTGCTGTGGTGTTCACTGTTAATAGGATGATTATCACTTTTACCAGTTCTGTCCTCTCTGATCTTGATTTTCTTGTCTTCATACATGTTAGTTACATATTGAGCATTAATCTGTATGAAAAATTGTAAAGTTAGTATGCCTTCCATTAGATCAACAACTAACATTGGGTGTCTCTCTCATTTATTGTCTCTTTAAATTGCTTATTTTGGAAGGTCAAATGCTAATTAAAATGTAAGCCTCAACTGATGTGTTAAAACAGTTTAAAAGCATTAATGCTTTAAGAAAATGAGGCAACATAAGCAACATTTCTCGTTTGAATCCAGCAAATGTTTTGCATTTTGACTTTATGAATATCATGCGCAGTATGCATGCAGCTTGCTTTCTAAATTTAGATTTTCAGTCCACACATCAATTAATTGATTAATTGTTTAGGTTTTAGCACTATATGTCACAATGCTTTTGGCTTCCTCTCATACATGCATCGTCATTACACACGAATCTGCTCTTTTCTATTTCAATTTATTCAAAATTATCTTAACACATGGTGGGGTATTTCTGTCACAGTCCTTGGTGTTCTTTTACATCCTCTGTGTGCTATTGCACCTCATCCATCAGACAGAGTATCTTATTCTTATTGTCCTCTCTGCTCTATTTCAGCCAAAATGAAGAGGAGAGCTGAAGCAACAGCCCTGCAGGGGACAAAGAGGCGTCGTGATGATAGCAGCTCAGATGACGAGTCAGAACTATCCAGACAAGGTAGATAAATTAATTTGTCCCTTCTAAACAATGTCTTACAGAAGAATTGATTGTTAAAAGATTATAAGCTACTCCATACTGTGATTAGGGTCACTTTAGATTACTTGATTTTCAAGTCAGTCAATGGAGATATATTTTGCTACTTTAAAGAATAATTTAGTTTGTCCTCCACTGAGGTTCTTTTCCAAGTACTGTTGAATCCCAGAGGAATCACCAAGGTTTTGATTTCATCTAATTGAGAACTAAGTTCAGTACAAGATTGTAATGCTGAGTGATTCGATGGTTATGATTGTCCTTGTGATCAAGGCTGTTAAATCAGGTATTAATCACTGTTTTTGTTGAGATTGGTTTGTTTGTATATTTTGGTTTATCCGTCTGTTCTTTTTTTTTTATAAGTGAATGGTTTGTACCTGTCTGTTTGTGTGTGTGTGTGGTTTTCTGCTGTCCAGACTCGAGCCAAAATGACTCCCTCAGTGACCAGGAGCAACAGAGACCTGGGTTCTCCATGTCCTCCATGTCATCCTTTGATGCTGCAGATGCAGATACCCCCACACAGGCCGCCTCAAAATTCTCTATGTACAACAGTGTGTCACAAAAACTCATGGTAATGTATTGAAAACCTCACTAACACAATATGTTTCACAATTAACTCTTTCAGAGTCTGTTATTGTATTTGATAGGTTTTGAAAATGGTTATTTAGCAAAGTATTCATAACTAACACAAAGTTTTCCACTGTTTTTTCCTAACTCCCTTGTCGGTTACCTCTTACACCTCTAGGCCAAGATGGGTTTCCGTGAGGGCGAGGGTCTGGGGAAGTTTGGACAGGGACGCAAGGAGATTGTGGAGGCCTCTACACAGCGAGGTAGAAGGGGTCTCGGCCTCACACTGCAGGGCTTCCAAGGGGAGCTCAATGTCGACTGGCGTGATGAACCAGAGGTACACATCAGTAAATAATAACTGTGTCATCTTTTGCTGAAGTGTCTTGAGTTAGTGTCATGATTTTAGGTTTGAAATACCATTCTGGAATCAAGCGTCAGTTGTACCTGTTGAAATGATCTTTGTTTGTCTCTCCTCTGTCTCTTCTCCTGTCTGACTGACCAGCCCAGTGCTGTAGAGAAGGTAGACTGGTTCCCAGAATGCACCACAGAGACCCCAGATGCAGATGAGCTGAGGGACTGGATGACTCTGGGAGATGTAAATAAAAACACAGGGACACTCACTTAGACATATACCTGATTATTACAAAAGGTTCATTCCTGCTTACTCTTTTGCATGATACATGCACATACAACAAAGTATTGTTTTGAACTGCTTACAGAGAAAACTCAAGATTGAAGATGAGACAGAGTTTTGCACTGAAGCTCTTCTGCACACCCTTCTAAGGTGCAAGGTGAGTTATAATGTAAAACACCTACTGTTCACTTATGTTTAATTTGAATAAATTTTTTCTTTAAATTTTACAGTTAAATATAGAATAACAGAATCTATATTGAGACACCCCAGCAGTTGATATAGACATTAAGATTGGTTTCTGATTGCATCATTAAAAATTACTTTAAATCTTACATGTGTGCTGTACTCACCTGTGCATTTAGGTCTATAGTCTAATGGTGATTGGTAGTAACATAGAATTTTTATGTATGTGAAGCTCGGTGAATTACATTCTATTCTTAATGGACCCAAATCATAATACAGTACTTTGGAATATTCCTGAGTTGTGTAACCACAGTGTCTGTCTGATGTTCAGTCAGTGTTTGATGACCTGGAGGGCGAGGAGATGAGGCGAGCTCGGACACGCTCCAACCCTTATGAGACAATCAGAGGAGGTATCTTCCTCAACAGGTCAGTCTTTAGATAGTTACTACAAATGTGACAAATTAACAATGTGAAATAATATTTCATAAGTCATTTTCTCTTTTGTTTTATTCAATTTGATTACTTTTGCGCGTATTGAAAAATTGGTTACAGAGAGTCAGGGCTTCAGCCTTTTATAGGTTAGAGGCTGCTTTTGAATGATGAAATCAAACGTTGCTGTGTGTGTGTTGATGATTTATGTTATTTGTGAATGATATCAAATCTGTGTGTTAGAGAGCAAATTTAATTAATACACTATATGATTAATTCCTGCCTTTCGAAAAATGGGCCACACAGATACCAAGAACTTTGGGAACTTAATTCACATTCCTAGTACTCCAGATAAATAAGCTTGCAGCAGTTTACTTAAATTTCTAATGAGTACTCTGTGGAGTGCCAGTCCTTTAAATATGATGACAAATTGTTTTATATGTCTTCTGTATTTAGAGCAGCTATGAAAATGGCGAACATCGACCACTGCTTCGACTATATGTTCACCAACCCAAAGGATTCACAAGGGGTGAGAGGGTCACAGTAACTGCTGATATGTGGTCGCTGAACTTTTGTTGGATCTGGACACACAGGCGCATTTAAACAGATGATGAGCTGATGTCTTTGCTCACTCTCATTATGTAGAAACCTCTGACAAAGGACCGTGAGGGTGAGCTTCTGTACTTTGGTGATGTCTGTGCTGGGCCTGGAGGCTTTTCAGAGTACATACTGTGGAAGAGACGTTGGCATGCGAAGGGCTTTGGCATGACACTGAAAGGACCCTGTGACTTCAAGCTGGAAGATTTCTATGCAGCGCCGAGTGAGCTGTTTGAGCCATATTATGGTACGGTAACAAAAGCTGCACATCACACTCAGGAGATGTCTGATGAATGATTCAGTGAAAGCTTGACCTCTTTGTGTCCCAGGTGAGGGAGGGGTGGATGGAGATGGCGACATCACTCGACCAGAAAACATGACTGCCTTTCGAAACTTTGTCCTGGAGAGTACAGAGAGAAGAGGGCTGCACTTCCTCATGGCAGATGGGGTGACTATTCCACATATTCATTTCTTTGCGCCAGGGTAGCCACTGCGAAAAAATCTATCAAAATCTAAATTTTACATATCAAACAGAGGATGAGTTCACAGCTAAAGTTACAACGAGCTTGAGCTTTGAGCTTTGAGCTTTGACCTTTCTGTTTAGTGATTAAATAAGTTTTGGCTTAATGACTGTCTCTGTCTCTGGTAGGGTTTCTCTGTGGAAGGCCAGGAAAACATCCAGGAGATCCTGAGCAAACAGCTGCTGCTCTGTCAGTTCCTCACTGCCATCTCTACACTCAGGACAGGTGTGTGTGTGCATGAAGTCATATAGTCAGTCTGCATAGCTGTCTGTGAGTGGTTCTTATCTCTCTGGACAGCTGCTGATGTTTCTAAATTTCCTTAAAAAAAGTGGGACATCATGTTCAGTCTCAATATGCCTTTGTCACATTCATGTTATGTACTCTTGTGCACATGTACTGCATATCAGGGTCCAGATTAATCATGCTGATGCTCTTTGTCTTCTTCAGGCGGCCATTTCGTCTGTAAGACTTTTGACCTCTTCACTCCCTTCAGTGTGGGTTTGGTCTACCTGGTCTACCTCTGCTTTGACAGGATCTCTCTCTTCAAACCTGTCACAAGCAGGCCTGCCAACTCTGAGAGGTGGGTCTGTGTCTGTGTGTACCTACTTGTGCAAAAAGATCTCTGGATTTGGTTTCATGCAGGGCAGGTTGGTTATTATTATATTTTAACTGAGTATTGATACTACAATGAAGCTACACAGTGCAGTTTTGCACATTGTCTAAACCAACTGGCAAAAAGTCTACAAAAAAGAGCTTGTGGGTAACAAGTTTTATAACATAACATAAATAACTAGCATATTCTCTGATATAAATCATTTCTTCTTTGTAGCGACAGAAGCTTTAAATTAATTCACCAGAGCTGTCCCAAATACCTCTTTCAAGTTTTCGATAACAGGCACATTCATCAGACTGATGTCTGAATATCTGTTAAAAATATTCAACCAATTAAAAACCAATTAAAACCTAAAACAGGCGATAGACCATGAACACTGTCACTTCCATTCCAAAGTGGCAGCAATATAAAGAAGTGGAAAACCCATTGACTCTGGGTTGTCAACACATCATCAGATCTCGTGCTGGAGATTGCCTCTAAATATTTTCCATTATACCCAGTGTTTTACTCTGCCTCAGTGGGGAGTTTGTGGTGCTTGTACAGGAAAAAAGATTTAAAAAACTGTCACAATACAGAAGTTTTATCTGGATGGCATGTGTTTGGTACCAACCTCAAAGTGTAATTTGTAATTTTTATTGAGTCCTAGCACATGAGTGGTTGGAAGAAACTTTGATATTTTGCTCCTGAGATTGGATATGTCACTTCCGGGATGAGGAAAATATTTTTCATATACTAACTATATTCAAAATTATAAATAAATCAACTGTGCAACGTCTCAATTAGAAGAAATAGGACAGTCTCTGTTCTCTGGATCCAATTTTTGATTTAGATTAAGAAAAGAAAATTTGTACAGAAAATTCTTGCATCTGTAAATCTCTTCTGACTCATTGCCCCCTCAGGTACATAGTGTGCCGTGGTCTGAAGCCTGGTTCAGATGCTGTCAGGGAATACATGTTCAGAGTCAACCTGAAACTGAACCAGCTGAGGAACACAGATAGAGATGTTACAGAAGTGGTTCCGCTGAGCATCATCAAGGAAGACACCGATTTCTATCAGTTTATGGTCAACTCCAATGAGAGGTAGAGGTGCATGATATCCAGTAAAGTCTGTAATTTTTCATTCCATACTGCATGACTGAAAGAAACTGAATTAGTTCTCCCTGTAGACTCTGTGTAGTCCAGATCAAGGCCTTGGCCAAAATCCACGCCTTCGTCGTAGAACCGTGAGTAATTGTTCTTGCACCCATTCATCTCTACTCATCTACCCATCAACCTCTACACCAGAATATCTGAATGTGTGTGATGGTGTTTATGTGGTGTTTAACTGTGTGACTGTGCTGATGTCTCTAGGACTCTTTCAGAGCCGAAACAAGCCGACATTAGGAAGGAGTGCCTGAAGCTCTGGGGGGTGAGATGAGAAACTGTGATATTTGTACTACACTGGAGCTGGACTATTACAGATCTAATACAAATAATAGAGTTTTTGTTTAATAATGCAGTTTCATTCTATGTTATTCCACCCATAAATAGTTTTTTTTTGTCTATTTCCAGGTCCCAGACAAGGCCAGGGTGACTCCTGCTTCCTCAGACCCAAGGTCAAAATTCTACGAGCTGGTCAAGGTCAGTTAATAAATCTGGGATTAAAGAAAACGTACTGGCAAAATACAATGCAGATACATGTGCATGAGTTTTTTGTGTGTTTTTGAGGAGGGTAATTTGGTAATTGTGTAATCTGCATATCTGAGACCATATACAACTGCACAATTTACACTTTGACCTTTTCATATAGACTTAAAAAGCGAAAAAATAATGAAGAGAAAAATCCTGTTTGGGCATGATAATCATTAGGTCTGATAATTACAAACACTGTCATAAGTGGACTTCTTGAAAATTTTGAATTTGTCTCATCGTCTGCTCTCCATCACCAACTCTCCTTGTGTCTGTTACACCTCAGAATTCAGATGTGGAGTCGTTACAGTGCAAGCTCACGCCTCTCAACTCCACCACACTCGAGAAGTTGCGTCATATCCTGGACCACAGGTGCATTGTGGGAGGTGGAGAGCAGATCTTTCTTCTAGCATTGGGGGTGAGTCGTAAGAGACAGTGTCGGTCTTGAATTTGTGTTTTGTCCTACTACGGTGAAGTAGTAGTATGCTTTTCACACAACTTGCAAAATCCTCTTTCTTTACCCTCTTAGAATAAAATGTCTTTTTTCATGATTTTCTTCATTTGATGTCTGATAGCGTCCTTCTGCTCTGCTACTATTAGTATATTATTACAAGCAGTAATGGAACACCTGGGCTAGTTAAGCTTTTTATGTGCAAAATTGTTTCCATTTCTCCTGGAGAAGATTAAAACAAAGAGCGGACAGGTAGATCCATTCACTCCCAATGTCTTTATTCTCTATGTAGAGGGATAGTGGTGACTGCCAGAGAGACTTTTCTGTTTCTGTGCACGATAACCTGTGTTTGAACCTGTTTTCATCTTATCTCTTCTCTCCAATTCCACTTAACTTGTGTAGAAGTCTCAGAAATACACGTGGGATGGGAAGATGCCTGTGCGCTGGAGGAAACTGGAAAATTTCAAGCTAGAGCTGCCAAGAGATACACTTCTAAGTGTGGAGATCGTCCAAGAGCTGAAGGGCGAGGTCAGACACCGGAGAGTTTAAGGGCTAAGCTGATGCAATATGGGAGCTAGTATATCAAACTCTTTATGACTTACTCAATTTTTGTTATAGCTTAAATGATAAACTATTGATAAAACAACTTTGCTGTTTGTTATATATTGCCTTTGACCATTTCAACTACAGCAGGGCTCATTTATCAAAGAGTGTGTGGTCATTATTGTTTTTTTTCCCTCCAAAACATGATTTAAAGAATTAGAGCTAAATTTAGATGACTTGGATCTGCTGCTTACACATCTGGTTTTACATGTGTGTGTATTTGGTCCATAGGGAAAAGCTCAGCGTAGAATCAACGCAGTTCATGTAATGGATGCACTAATAATCAACGGCACTGATGTAAGAGATCAGCATTTCAACCAACGGTAGGACAGAGTGGTGATTCTGGATCAAACATTTATGGCACCATGTCTGATCTGAATCATACTCACCAAAACACTAATGCCATATACCCAGTGTCAGCCTTTATAATCACTGTTTACTTACACGTCGTAGCTATTTCTGTACATGCAAGTTGGAGTTGCAGTCCTCTATACTTTACTAAATAATGACCATTGTATATCCAGGATCCAGATGGCTGAGAAGTTTGTGAAGGCGGTAGCCAAACCAAGTAGACCAGACATGAACCCTATCAGGTATTAATTTAAAGCAATTCAACCATTACTTTTGAATGCAGCTTTGTAATTTATGTGCTGGGATTTTATTTTCTTTGGTGGGGAAGTATGAGAACTCTGTATATAAAACATTTTCTCGTTATTTCACTGTATTTTCCCAAACAGAGTGAAGGAGGTGTATAGGCTGGAGGAAATGGAGAAAATCTTTGTCAGGTGAGAAAAGACAGGTCTCTCATCACTCAACTTTTAAGTTACATATAATATTTTTTTCCTAAGTGTTGAGGTTTTTCAAAATTTTTCAAGGTCAAGGTTACATTTGTTGTCTCCTGTGAAAAACAAAATGTCAAAAAAAAAAAAAACATTTTAATTTGTAATTTTCTGGTTTTCCTCATCCAGACTAGAGATGAAGGTAACAAAGAGTTCAGGAGGAGTCCCTCGTCTGTCTTACACCGGCAGAGATGACCGACACTTCCTTCCCACAGGCCTCTACATCATTAAGACTGTCAATGGTTAGTATGTGTGTGTGTGTGTGTCTGAGCCTGCTTGTGCTGCAGCTCGGTGTCAGAAATCGGCACTTAAATTCTACTTTGAGTGACCTTGTCTAAAGTCATTTACTTGTGGTTTTTATGCTGTTAATAACTGAAAAATATCTCTCTCCTTCCTCTCCGCCTTTTAGAGCCATGGACGATGGCATACAGTAAGAACTCCAAGATGAAGTTCTTCTATAATAAGATCACCAAGGAATCCACCTATGAAATGCCAACAAACTCTGCTGCTCCCTTTCAGTAAGTACTGCCCTCTCTATTTATGTTCAAACTAAGTGAGTTTAATTATTTGCAGTTATTCACTTATTGTATCAAATTGTTGTGGTGGTGGAAGAATAGTTTACAACACAACGTTGAAATATCTTTCGGTAGCCGTGATGAATTTGTCTTCATCCTCAGTGTCTGCCACTCTGAGCGTCTCTTCTGGGCCTGGGTGGACGGGGTCATAGTTCACGATTCTCAGACCCGGGTGGATCCTGAGAAACTGTCCAAAGACGATGTTTTGTCCTTCATCCACCAGAACTACCAGCCCTGAAACTCTCTCCGAGCCCAGAGCTTCACCAGCTACAACCTGAATACAGAATGCACTAAATCATGGAGGACATAGAGCCACAGAAATGTTATAATGCAATTTATTACTTAATATTTTATTTTGATAATTAAAGGAGGGTTATCAAAAACACTTAACAGCTGATTGAAATTATGTGTTTATGAATCCCTGTTTTTATTGTCCTCTTAATATCAATTGATAAACTGTTAGACCATTTCCGAAGGTCCTCTAGTTCCTCCTTATTATGTTGCTTAGAGAAATTGTTATCAGGTTGTAACTGAGTTCTGGAGCTGAAAGTCTTGTTTGTCTTGTTTGCTGCTATTTGTAGCAGTGTCATCTGGATTCCTCGTAAGCAACGGACACTTTGACAAACCACTCTGTCTTTCTGCCTTTTCCACTGCCCTTGGCTCTATTAATTCTAATGAATAAGATTCACCTCATAGGACAATATGAAGACAAAAAGCTGCTGCCATTGTCTCTACATTGAATTGCATGTCCCCGTAGATCTAGTTTTTATGGTTCCTTGTCCATGCCATGCTTATGTGTGTTTGCATACACCACGTTAAGAATGATAGGTAGGGTAACTGCATCCACATCTGTATACACATACTTCCTTGCCTTGCTCTGCATCTGCTTTAAACAGAACTGCTCGTCTTTTCATCTCTGTAGAGACGAGCATCTGTTCGCCAAGTCTTACACACAGGCTCCTTGTTGTTGCTCCTGCAGATCTGTAGCTGATGCCTGAATACAACAAACACATTGATAGTGCTCTAAATTATCCTCAGCATCATTTCGACTTTCATATCACTTAGAGATGTAGCATCTTTCTCCCATTCATACCTGATCTGTCATGGAGTGAGTGTTCAAAATCTGGAAGGTGTCTTAGTTTTTAGGTTGTTTCTCCCTTGACACCTCTTTGTGATTGTGCCTAATATCGCCTGGACTGTGTGTTTCTTAAATGCTGCAAATGAGTTATTTTTCTCTTGTAAAGTTCGCTATCAATCCTTTGATGTAAATAATAATATAGTAAATAAATGGGAGGTGCTCAACCCAGAACATACTCTCAAATGCCTGGTGAAATTTGATTTAGGCTATTGTCTGAGTAATGACCATGACAGCTACAGTGGACACAGCAAAGTATAAACGGCAGCTTTAGATCTAGAAACCAACCACTGTATTGGAGTACTACCTGTCCCGGGTTTTGTGCTGGCCAGTTTGCACTGATTTGATAAAATACTACCTTATTTATGAAAATGCACCATGTGAGCTCAAGTAAAATACTGAAGATATGTTCACAAGTTTACATAATAATGTAGGATTTAGTTTGTGTTGTACTTCAGATGTGCAAATTCCCAAACGAATCTTTAAAATAATCAAATTACCAAACAGCAACTGACAGACACTGAACCTGGCTTTTGGGGCCCCTGGAGATCTCTGGGCCATTTTCCCACTTTGCCCAGTTGGTAATCCAGCCATGATGATTATGTCATTGATTTATACGATCTCATTTAAACATTGATGGATTCGGCAAGCTGTTCATATAGCCATGGTGTCTTGACCTTATGCTAAGCTAACCGGCTGCTGAATATGTTAGCTCTGCCAGGGAGCGTTTCAACCTTCCCAAAATGCAGAACTGTTCGTTTGTTCATTACTGTCTGTTCATTTTTTAAATGTGTAATAACTTGTTGTTGTTACTGAGACTGGTTAAATCTTTTACAGATATTTGCAATCATCTTTACAATATTTTGTCTTAAAAATACTCCCTCCAAACAGTCCAGACATTGTTTTTTGTGTGTTTTTTGATCCTTTAGTTACTATCATGTATCTCTGTTTCCTGCATCATTTTGTTACAGGAGTGTAGGGAATCTCACATTCATCCAAACTAAGTTTAATTGAGGCCACATTTGAAATTTCCTCTCTTCATTTACCCAGTGGCGTCAGCATCCAACATTGGGCTCTTATTTTGAAACCCAAACTCGCTCAGCCAATCAGATTACAGCCTTATATAACCGGAAGCGACGTTATGAAAACATTACAAGCGCGCTTCACGCGGTCACAGCTGCGATTAATGTTCAGGTAATTATGTCTTTCTGTCTCATTTCTGTAAGTTTACAACTTGCAAGATGTCAGATGTGTTCAAATAAAGGTGTTTAAGTTAGACGGTGAGGAATTACTTCGCTAAGTATTACTAATTGACTAATCATGGTTGTTTTTATAAGATAAGATGCATTTGGATACATCACTAGTGTCATTTGACTTGATATGGCAGGTTATTCACCTGTGTTGGGTTTTACATTACATAATTGTACATACGGTACTTTGCAGTGGTTGGAAAACGTCAGTCGATGTTAAAGGGAGTTTTGACACCTGCTCACCAGACATGCTGAAAGCTGTGGGACAAGCTCTCTTCTCAAGTGGACTGCAGAATCCCAAATTCACAGCAGAGGAGAAAAAGGTAAATGTTTTGCCAGGTTACCTTGTAAAATGAAAATGACACTAAACCTTTGGCCTTCTGAACCTTCTGTTTGTCACGCTATCATGGGACAAAAGAGTAGTGAATTAAGATCAGAAAAATAATCGACATCTTTCTCAAAGTTGATTCTACTCTTCTCAAAACTGAGGTTATAAATAAATAAATAAATGAGAAAAACACCAGCTTCACTATTGTCAATGTGTAGGTATATCCAGTATTCACAGTAAGCACCCTTTTTATATAAACTAGTTGTGGAAATGTACAGTAAAGACAAATGTCTGGATGAAACAAAATTGTGTACATATATAAACAAGAAATTCCTGTGCAAAGCTCTCCTGTCTGGCCACACATGACCTTCCTTCCTTCTGATACTCTGCCTCCAACTAAATCAAGGCATCTAATACATCAACATACATTTTACCTTTTGCCTAAGCATGTTGTTGTCCTTCTTTGATGTCTGTCTTCTATATATGTGTGATCTGCGGTGACTCAGTTTAAAATGTGTTTGAGAAATGACTCTGAGTTGCACTGTCAAACTGCATTTTACAACATGTGGGAAGTTGCTCAAAAATCTGAATTCTGCAGATAACCTTGTTATCAATTCTTGTAATGACTCTTCCAGATAACTTCTGCTGTGTTCTGATGAACTGTGACCCCTCAGATATTTTTGCATGTGAAAATCTTCCAGAAAGAACACAGTTGAATGCATGTCTTGGAGTAATAGAGTTCAATAGAAAAACTGTGTGATTAATTTTAATCACAGTGACTCAGTGCATCAGTTGCAACAAGATATTTGTACTGAAACATTTAATTCACATGTGACTGCAACAAAAGAAAATCATATGTGGTCGTGAGAAAATGAAAATGTTTCCAAACATTTCCAGTGTCAGTGTGGTTACAATTTCTGATCAGGTCAGAGAGTACAGAGCAATGATGGTATTTTTCACTATTTTCTGGCATGTTATAGACTGAATTATTAATTGATTAATCAATATTAAAAAAATCAACAGAAATAAATAATGTAATAAAACCAGTAATGATTTGCAACTATATTGAGTGTGTGTGTGTCTGTGTTTTCCAGGGAGAAGACTATGAAATCCGCACCTACCATGCCACCAAGTGGGTGAGCACCTCTCTGAGTGGGATGCAGCTGGATGCAGCCATGAACACTGGCTTCCGCAGGCTCTTCCGTTACATCCAGGGCAACAATCAAAACAGTGAGTTTGAACAATTTTATCTCTGAAATGTAATATTCTTCATTCTGTTGTTTGTGATGCTTTTAGTTTGTGTTGTTGTGAAGTGTCAAGTGAAAATGAAACTCGATTAAACACAATCAGTCAAGTAAACAATGTTCAGAAGGTGCAGAATGAGGTTATGGATAATTTCAGCTCAAGACAAGGGAGCCGGTGAATAATTGCAAGAGGAAGTTCACTTTAGTGCTCGCTCAGCAGTTTGTAACAGCACCGCTGCCTTTGTCTTACTCAGCAGTTTACGGCAGCATTATTTATGAGAATACATACAGTTTGTGCTGTTGACTAGTGAGGTCTGCAGTGTTAGGAGTGTGAGATCTGTAATCATGGTGTTTAATTCACTACATGTGCCACACATTGTGCTAATATGTCAACCATCTGTTCATGTGTCATTATGTGCTGAGGTTTTGATGTCACCTGGCAACGGAGGGTTTAACTAGGAAATGTTTCATATGTGTACATCTTACATGAGCTGGTTACTCATAAGACCAATCAGCATAAATATCGTATATAGCTAGTTTGTTTAATGCCTGTCAGATTTGTGTGTGTGCTGCTGTTTTTTTCTTTCCTTTTTTATTAAAAAAAAAAAAAAAAAAATGCAATTTTTACTTCAGAGGTCAAAGTGGAAATGACGGCCCCCGTGACGTGCCGTGTCGACCCTGGAGCCGGCCCTGCATGTGAATCTCACTTCACTGTATCCTTCTACATCCCAGAGGAGCATCAGGCCAGTCCCCCGGAGCCTAGTGACCCGGAGGTGTTTGTGGAGAACAGGAAAGAGTTCACAGCTTATATCAGGTAGAGTAAAACCTTAACATTAAAATCATTAAATCATTAACAGATTATAGGTTTCAATGCTAATTCAAGATGATAATGTGTAAAAGTGTTTGCTTGTCATTATTATTATTATTATTATTATTATTATTATTATTTTTGTAAGTTCATTATAATTGTGCTTTTTCCTCTTTTTATTTTATTAAAATTTTTTTACAAATCTTCCAAATGATTGCAGATACCAAAACAAAAAAGTATATTTCCAAAGAGAATTGGTAAAATGAAGACTTTATTCTTCCTTTTCTTCCAGGACATACGGTGGTTTCTCCAATGAGAATATGAAGCGTGAAGAGCTGCTGAAACTTCTGGAGAGCCTACAGAGGGACGGCGTCCCATACGTCGACAAGCCGTTCTACACAGTTGGCTACGACAGCCCCTTCAAACTGACCAACCGCAGGAACGAGGTCTGGGTCCTCAAGAAGGAAGACAAGCAGTAGAGAGTTTTAAAGGTCTCACACACACACACACACACACACACACACACACACACACACACACACACACACACACACACACACACAGCATGCGGCCCACTGCAACTTAAAAATACTAGACTTTTATGCGATCATCTCACAACACATGATAAATTTCAGTTTTACAGCTCTTTTCAATGAAGTATGATGAATTAACTTTAAAGGTCACATTAACGAGCACTGTTGAATATCTTTTTACTTTTTTGACTGTGAGTAAGTTTTGCAGTGAATGCTTTGACTAAAAGTTACTGAATTAGACTCTTTGTAAGTCTGGATAAAGTGACCAAATGCATAGTAAAGTGCGCTCTAACAGGCCATCATCTAGCATCCATTAACCAAGTGGCCACAGTGGAGCAATATTTCCAGCAGAGGGAGCCAAGTAGTCAGAGGACATGTCCCTCTTGGTGCATTTCATTAGGACAAAAACCTTAAGTGCCTCTTTTAATGAATGACTTGTTGAAAACACACTAATTTTCAGTTTTTTTTTTTTTTGTGCACATTGCTAACTTCTATTTATTCAGTGATTCTCAAAGGGGAAAAAAATACTTGAAAATTCAGTTGTATGGTAAATATGTTTTCATTTAAAACATAATGTAACAAGAGTCTGCGAGATGTAAAAATAAAGGATAAGTTTACATTTTTCATCTTTTGTAATGCACTACTTACATGCCTATGTGTACATTAAAGCCATTATTGGTCAATCTCTTCTTACGAAGAGAGGGATTGATTTCAGTGACTTTTAACGTACATGTGGGCCTGTGAGCATTGCGAGCAACATAGACCTGGCAAAATTTGCGAAACGTGCTCTTTGTGGGAAGGTGGCTCTGCCTGACAAAATGTTGGTCGATGTCAGTTTATCGGATCCTACACCTCACCTAGCTGTCTCCGCTATCACACCTGTTATGATGAACGGCTGAGTCACTGTTAATCTAGACCAGTCACATCACCGACATTTCATCATCTATCATTTTTATTTGCAGCAAACAGGTCTGTGATGAATTAATGAGTGTGTAGTTACCTGGCTCTGATCTACCAACATTTCTTTGGTGCGTTGTGGGTGTAAGACATCGGCAAAGAGCGACAGTTGCAAGCTAACAAACATGCCATTTTTTATGCATTAAATCAATCTTTATATTTTTAGCTCCTGATGTAGTAGAAATTGTGTTTTTAATGTTGAAGAAGGGATACTACATGGTTCTTGACATGGGAAAGATGACTTAAGCACTGCACTGGGAAATATTACATGCTTCTAAATGATGTGAAAGAATGTTAAATTTAGTATCTCATCAATAATAAATATAACTCATCATCAAATGATCGATTACTCTGATAATTTATTACCTCCATCTCGACTGTGTAATTATGTTTTTGTCCCTATTTCATGATGGGATTTTTTTTTTTTTTTTTCCACAAAACTTCTTCCTGAGTTGTTTGTCTCATCCGTATGTTATACAATTCAGACCGTCCTCCACACTCTGATGGTCATGACCTTTTATCAGTCAGATGAAATCCTCGCCACAGTTGACTTCACCCTCTGTCCTCTCTCACCTTCTCCTCTCCCGTGCTCTCGTCGTCGTCGTCATCCATGTTTGCTGAGTCATTCGTTTTATTTGTGGCAGAATTGTTCCCAATATCATGTTCAGACACTCAGCAGAAACGACATCTGACAAATGACACATATATACGCTCTCCACCGTCGTCTGTTGTTCACCAGTCAGATCGATCTCATTGGCCATGCTCGCTGAGGTGAAACATCGCTGCGGAGAGGAAATGTATAATGAGGCTCTCTGTTTTATTCCAAATACCACAGTCGTGTATTTTAATTTTATCTAGCCCCTCCAGCCTGGTGGAAACCTTGAGCTGATGTGGAGGACAGGGTGTAAAAATACTTCACTGACAAAACTCATTTTCTGGTGACAGAGATTAACTTTATAAAATTAATGTGCAGTAATGAGCAGTGGTACATTTTCATACAGTTTCTTTCTTTTTTTTTTTTTTTTCCCCCAGTGTTTTTTCTTGATTTTTAAGGCTCCAGTTTCTTCCCACATCCCATATTGCAAATTAGAGAGACTGGAGACTTTATATTGCCAAAACCGTGGGAGTCAGAGAATGTGTGAGTGGTTGTCTCCTTTGCATGTGTGTTAAATTTACATTGTTGGCAACTGTTTTCCAAAGCAGGTTTTAATATTGTAGTTATTCCATCCAGACATTTTAGTCGACTGTGAATATCGGGGCTGCAAAAAACAATTTTCTTTTTCAGTTCATCTGACTATTACTTTCTCAGTTAATTATTTAGTTTATGAAAGAGCCCAAAGTGGTGTCTTGAATATCTTGTGAAAGGTGATGTTTTCTTCTTCCAACAGTCCAAAACCCAAATATATTTCAAGTCATATATGACAGAGAATACCAGCAAATCATCATGTTTCAGAAGCTGAAACCTGTAATAGTTTGACATTTTAGTTGAAAAATTACTCAATTAAGGATAGTTCATGAATTATTTGATCAATTAATTGATTTATTGTTGCAGCTCTATTTAAGATTATAAACGTTTAAAGAGTTTAGAGATTTGATACTGAACTTAAGTGATCACAACTGTGTGTGTATGTCTATTTATACACACACAAGGAATCGCAAATTTGATTCTGAAATACGGGAAGGTTTTTAATCTGCAGGCCTTTTAAACTATTCACTGATAACAATCAATCATGTCTCTCTCTTGATTAAAGTGATCTCAACTAATAGACAAATGCAAATTGTGACATACGGTCAAAAAAAACATTCAGGCAAAAATCTGACATCTAAGATTGGAGAGACATTAAATTTAATTTACATTACTCTTTTCATAATGCCATGTTTGACACTTTGCTTTAGCTGACTGTCAGAGTTGGAGCTTCCCTAAATGCATCAGCAAGGAAACATTTTAGAACAGCCCCATATTCACAGCTGCATTTTTATGCAAGGTGACTAAAGGTTTCCTGTGACAGAATGATGGACCTGTTTTAGGCAGAGCCTCTGCATGTTGAATTTTTTTTTTTTTTAATAGTGCACTGGTATTGAAAGATGATTTGTGGAATAGATTTTGAAATGGGTTGTCGGTAATGTCAAATGTTGTTCTTCATTAAGGGACTAAAACATGCAAAGCTACTGATACAGTCCTTTTTTAAAAGCCTAAGTGAACAGGCACTCCTCTATTTTGCCCCAGCACGTGTGTCAAATTGTAAATACTGTATCTTGCTTTTTATGGCTGAATATTCGGAGCCGTTCCTGTTGATCAGGCTGAGTCATTCTACAAAGACTCTTCAGGCACTGAAACGCAGTTGATAACTATTCTGTTCCTTGCCATCTACTGTGTTCAAGTCAGTATGGTTGATCAGTTTCATTTGTCACTTCATGCACCTGTGTCTTGTAAGGGCACTGTACAGAGGGTCTTGTATATAAGAGGAAAGTGGGAAAAGCACTGGAGTGTCAATAGTGTGATTATGCTTGGAGTTTGTATTGATTTCTGTGTGACAGCCAGATGGACACGGTATTGGATAGGAGCGTCTGAGGCCAGGTGACTCTGCTAAATAGGAGGGTGGAGGGAAAACATTAAAAGGCTGTCAGTGTTTCTGTGCTCTTGGGAACGAATGCTCAATGTGCTGAGGGCTTGAAATGACAGCATGGTACTGAAGGGAATGTGTAAGTCAAATAGTCACGACTGATCAACTGTGCAGCAGTAAAAAGGTCTATTATGGGCTGAGCCTGTGATTCAGTATGTGTCCTAATAGGATGTCCAGATGGAGACATAACTGATGACCCTGCAGGGGGGAGGCGGGGTAACCGATGGCCTCTGGAGTTTTCCAGATGACGGACGAGTGTGGATGCCATGGCGATGGCGCTAATGAGGCGGTGATTTGGGGTGTTGGGTGGGCAGATGGCCGTGAATCACTCAGACGGAGAGAAATGACACAGAGACCTGGCTCTTTAAATATCACCTTGTTTTTTTTGTTTGTTTTTTATTACACAGACATACACAAGAGCATTAGCAGCCTGCCTTCAGCTCCACTCCCACTACTTCACGACTTCCTCTTCTGTCCTCTCGTCTTTTTCACAAGCTCTCTGAGATTGAGACGTTCCCTGTCATGAGATGAGCCCCGGCCCCAAGTGCTCAATCATGGTCAGGCGGGAGCTGGGGGGCGAGACACACTTTGGTCACAGGTGATTAAACCACAGGGTGTTATGGCTGTTAGGAGGTTATGACGTCTCGAGCCTGTCACCTCAGTTCATGTCTCTGAAGAGACCACATTTACTCAGCTGTGAGCACCAGTGTGTGGTTTGCATGACTCAAGATTAAGGGCAGTAGAAGGCTGAAGCATAAATATTGACATTATTGCATTTTTGAAGCACCTTTTTTAAAAGAAAGAAATGAACTGGTTGGATCAGTGGAGTAAATGTGGCTCTTGTTCCTCCTAACCCTTCTTCCCTGTGCCTCCATCACCCTGCTTGACAGTTTACCATACTGCAACCCTGCTATGTGAAAATAAATAATCTACAAAAAGGAAACCACTCCCTTCCAGCAAACACAGAGCTCTAAAAATGTACAAATTCTTTGAAAATAAGTCAAACTGTTACTTAAAACTAATTTCTCTATGTATTTACATACATAACCATATAAAACTGCAAAGGGATAAACTTAGCAGAAAGGTCAACGTCATTATAGAAATCACTTAAGCCCTAAAAAGGTTCTAGTAGGTCTCTGCAAACTTAACAATGGTTGGACCATCTGCATGTGGTGTCAGACAAGTGGTCACTCTTTGATTGTGTTCACGTCCAGATTAACGGCCAGCTACGCTTCATTTTTTCAGCTCTTTGGTAACCAACATTCTCACTAAAAGACCCGGACAGTAAAACAAGCTTTTTGTAATTTCCGGCTTTACATTTATAGATTCATTCTTAACTCCCAAAACACAAGTCTTGACATCACTTGTTTATTAAAACAATCTTTAAAACATACTTTTTTTTAAATCACAAACAAAGAAAAGACCTATGCACAGTGCAAAATCTATAAACTAAAAGTTACTTAATAGAGGTTTTATGAGCCTTTTTCATAGAGAAGTGTTTTGGCTGAGCCTTCGTACCCCCAACCATTTTCCACTTCCTGCCCGTCACTAGGTGGCAGCACTGAGCCCTCTGCACTTTCTGTGGACCTCTGAATACACCCCAGCTCTGCAAACTACACCACCGAACCATAAGAGCAGAAAGCAAAAAACCTGGTGATAACCGTATCTGAAGTTGTACCGTGGAGCTGTCTGCTGTACCACGTCCTCGAGTTCTTTCCACAACATAAAGAGCTGTCTGAAGGCAACATTCGCAGGCCGTGGCGCTCTCAAAACACTTCCCAGAGCCAACAGGAGAGAAGCAGAAGCTTAGAAGATTCACGAGGCGAGCGTCCGGCACACCTTTACATCCCACTCTTTCCAACTGCCTAGCTATGTAGCACCACAGCAGCAAAGTTAAGCAAACAACTTGTGACTTTTCGATTCCTTCGATTCACCTTAATTTGCCATCTGAACCTTGTCCTTCAAAGAAACTAAAGGGTTCCTGCATGTTAAGGACAGGGTAAAGTAAAAAAAAAAAAAAACAGCAAAACAAACAGAAAACAAACTAAGAACACCAGGCGTAAAAGAAACACTATTCTTTTAACACAGAGGGTGAGTCACCAAATGAAGGAGAATGAGAATCAGGAGAGTTTTGAAAAGCTGCAGCACAACCAGTTCTCCACTTCAGACTAAGTTCAGCTGAGTCCGTGATGGGGTGACCTCTGTCCTCACACCAGGACCTGACATGTCCACTCCCTTAGGGGCAGCGCAGAGGGGGCGGGGCTCAGGAAGGTGTCTCTTCTATTGGCTCTTCTTCCTGCCCCCTGCCTGGTTACAACGAATGAGTTCAGCTCCCTGAATCGAAGGGGCAGTTCTTGCTCTTTAACTTCTGCTCTCTTCAGATAAAGTGCCATTGGAGTCTTTGAGCAGAGGGAGAGTCTGGACTGTGGGTCCAGACGGACTTTCTGCAGTGTCTCCATACTCGCTCTCAGCCAACTCCCCTTCGCGCTCGCAGATAACTGTCATTGGGCTGCTGAGGATTCGACTGCGTGCGTTGTATTTGCTGCTAGCAGCAGAGGGCGGTGTGCGAGAGCGCCCATACTTAAACCCACTCATTGAAAAGGATGGTGAAGTTGGTGAGGACAGAGCCAAGGCCTCATAGCGGGTCCACTCATCTGTTGCCCGTTTACCACGACCGGGGGAGCCGCATGGGCTGTGCGGTGCTGTCGGGGAGGAGGGCGATGCAGCAGGGGGGTCTAATGCTGACTCGGAGCGTGTTCTCTGGAAGCGAGGGTCAGTGGAGCGAAGCATCTCAGCAGCAGACATCCTGAAGCTGGTCTCAGAGCGGCTGCCCTTCTTGAGGAGAAGGGCCTTGAATGTGTCGCTGCTGGTGGAGGACTTGCGGAGGTTGCGCTGGATGGAGCCCATCTGCCGGGGCAGAGAGGACACCGTCCCTGGAGACTGGCCTGTTGGGGTGACGGGTGGAGAATGTGGGTTGCTCCCACCCCGGGACTTGTCCTCCTCAGACTCCTTGCGACCCAGGACTTTGCGCTTCGACCTAGGGTGAGATATGGATCACCAGATTAATGACATGTTCCTAGAAATTCTGCAGCGTGAGTGAGTGCAAGCAAGGTTAATTTATTTATAAAGAGTAAAATAACTTAAGGGCAACTGAATGTGGATTTGACAGAGGAGCAAATAGAAGAAATGTAAGAGTTGGGGGCAGTATTGTCAGGAAACTACACCAGACTTAACTATCTAAATTAAAATTAGGGTGCAGCATATGGGATTTCATACATGTGAGCAGAAAGCTCAGCCTTATGAATGTTTGTGTTGCTGAAGCTTAAATAAAATAAAAACTGCACTTAAAATACTTGGCCCACATGCCTTCAAATCTTTGTCCCAAATTTGCCATATGTCAGCTCTGCCCCCAGCAATCATGCATCACAGCACGAATCTTTAAAAAAAAAAAAAAAGCAGACAATAAGAGCACTGAGTGACGTGGACACTCAAAAAAAAAAAAAAAAAAAAAAAAAGAGTAATGAGAAGAAGAGTTATATATTATCATTAAATAAATCCAATGAGTCTTTACAAGAGAAGCTGCAGACGCTGCAACTTTGCAAGAAAGCTCAGACGCGGCACAATGAAATTACTCAACAACACAAACTGGGAGAAGTGCCCAAAGCAGCTTTAATCACACAAGGACAATTCAGCCTCTCAGCAGGGAGTATCAGAGTGGTTGACTGCACCACCCGGCCTACACTGTCTATAACTCCTGCACTAAAGCATAGCAATAAAGCTCAATACTGGTAGAATATGGGGGATTAGGGCTAGCAGTGAGACAGCCTTATTAATCTGTGGTACAGGGGGTTGCACCATGGGATTACTGCAGCTAATCCAAAGGTAGCATCACAGCGCTGGCAGAAACAAGGCTTGCTAATTAAAGGGAAGGGGCTACTTGCCACTTCGCACCTCTCTAGAAAGGATGCACCCACACACTGCATGCCCCCTCTGCACAGGGGAGGAGAGAGGAGGAGAGGGGAGACAGAAATGATTAAAGGCATGAAAAATACAGATTATGTGATAAGGAAGAGAGATTTGATGCTAAAGGTAAAGAGAGGAGTGAGAAGGGCGCAGTGAGACAAAATCCTTAATCCTCAGATTAGATCTACAGAAAGTTCTTCCATAGAGGACAAAAAAACCTGTAGAGAAAAATAATTCTGAAGGTCAAATGCGAGGGAGGACTGAAGGATAGAAATGAATTGTGTGAGACTAAGTCTGCATTCTGATTTAGACTGCATAATGTGAGTCTGTGCCCTAAATTCAACCTCCATCTTGCGTCGTCCCCTGCGAGCTTCCTCGCCACATTAGCCCAACAGCATTACATAAGATTTTTCTCACACACACTCACACGTGCATACACTCACACCTGAATTCAGTCAACCAAGACGGCTCCATACTGAACTCGCAGTGGTAAACACACAAATACGAAAACCAAAATACGGACTAATGGACGGCAGCGAGGCCAGCGTCAGTTATATAGGTAAACAGGGCTGCAATATAAGACGCAGCTCAGAGCACTTGATCGATCTCCTCTTGGCTGTATTGCATTTGGTTTGGAGGATCTCCCTCCCTCCAGACAAGTTGTATTTCCTGCTGCAGCTGTGAAGACCTCCATTCAAGGTTTTCATCATACTCCATTCTCCCAGAGAGAGAGGGAAGGAGAGAGAGAAGATGGGGAAGGTGGAAGTGAAATGACAGATGAGAGGGGGAGAGGAAACAAGTCAGAGGAGCAGTTAGACAACATCTGTGCCAGAAAGACGCTATTGAAAAGTGTGTATATGTAAGTATATGAATCTGAAAGCTTGCATTTCAAAGTGCAGCATATATTCATGTTTTTGAATTTAAAAATGTTACATAATAATGTCAACAATCTAACTTCAGATTACTCAAATGGATTTAAATGAATTAGTAGCCGAGTTCATTCTTTGCAGTTTTTAACTCCTCATAATATTAACAGCACAGCCAGGAGTCCATCAGCACTTCCCACTTATGATAAATGCTTCTATATGTTCTACACTTGCGAGGTGTGATGGAGGAGGAGGAGGAGGAGCACAGAAAAGCAAGTGCAAAACAGAGTTTGATGGTAAGGTTTATGCACGCACACTTACACAATCTTCATGTATAATTGAGCTGCACAATAAATCGCGCTTGCACCATAAATACATACACAATCTGTTGCCCGCAGAGATAAAATCCTGTGAAATGAAATCCTGTGATGCTCAAGAGAACTCCCGACTGCCGCTGCACGTGACCGTGAAACACAAACTGGCGGGCTGCATGAGAAATTTATGTGTGTGCTTCTCTTTGAAGCACGGAAGCACGTATGCAATATATGTCAGATACCCTAGAGCAGAGGCAGAAACAGAGAGAGGGAGGAAGAGAAAAAACACGAACCAGTCTCTCAGGTGGCCTCTAACCTAGATTAAGACCAGAGGGTGTCGAGTGGTTAAATAATGGATGAAGCAACAGCCTTTTCTCCTGCTGAGAATGAGCAATGCTAATTTGACTACACTAACACAGATGCCTCGATAAACATTTGACTACTGACTCGTATTGCTTCCTAAATTGTTGCCTCTACGTGGCCCTTCAGTGGCCGGAATCAGAAAAAGCTCCCCGGCTGGGAGGGACCCCGGAGACCAGTTATTTGACAGATGCATACGCGTGCAGATGGGACAGCGCGGGGTAAAGTTATGGCGGAGAGGTGGAGGGCAGGGGGAGGAGGAGGAGAGGAGGGGAACGGAGATTGAAAAACAGAAATCATGGATTGAAGGGTGAGGGTGAGGGTGTGTGTGTGTGTGGGGGGGGGGTTGGAGTTCAGGGTGATATGTTGTGGTTTATGGGAAGGGGGCTGAGAAAGAGGGAATGAGATGTTGACAGAAAAAAAGGAAAGAGGAGGGAGGAAAACAAATAAACAGAGAAAGTGGAATGACAGAGTACTAGAGGAAAAATAAACTAGCTCAGTGGACTAAATTATGTATCGGGAGTTGAAGCCGGTGAGGAGTGAGGAAGTTGAAGTAGATGAAGTGGAGTGACAAGAGGCGTAAAAGAGGGAAGTGCATCATGGTACCTGTGAATGGCAGCAAAGAGGTCCTCGGTGGTTCTGGGCCGTGTGGGAGTCGGGGTCACCATTTTCTCCCCGTTGGTTGACGGGGACGGAGACGATTCAGCCGTACTGGAGTCGAACACCTCACCTGAAACAGAGGAACATACAAGTTACACACACACACACACAAACAAACCATGCATACTTTAGGTTGCACATGCTCATGAATCCGCCATCCTGTCGCATTAACCTGGCAGGCTATGAAATCTGAAGTGGTACCGGGGAGGTGCTGGACTGTCTTCTTACATTCTCTTTCTGTCTCTAGATTCCCTCTCCTTTCTTCTCCTCTAGTTCAGTCTCTTTTCTCCTCCTCCTCCTTTCAACCTCCGCGCTTCGACTGCCTGAGCCGCTGTAGGCAGTCTCACTTTACGCTCTCCCCCATCCTCCCCTTCATCCCCTTACCAGATCTGTTCCCCTCCCCTCTGATACAACGGAGCCCCTCCCCCTTCTCCCATCAACCACGAAAAGCATCTCCCATGGGACACCCCCCCCCCCTTACCTCAGTGGGAGAAGGGAGCAGGACAGAGAGAGAGAGAAAGAGAGAGGAGCTGAGTAGGACAGACCGAGGATAAGAGATTAACAGAAAAGAAGAGGGAAAAAGCAGAGAGGCAAAATGGATATTTGAAAATAAGGATGGATGGTGGAGGGAGAGAGGAGGGGGGGGGGGGGCAATGCAGGGAAAAATGAAGGGACAGTAGCCACAAGAGATGTCTGCATATAAAATGCAAAAGAGAGTGAGTAAGAGAGAATGAATTCAAGAGGCTGCAGCACTGCTGTCCCAGTGATAAGCTGTCACTACTGCACTATTTTCACAGTTTTCAAACCTTTAAAAGCTTGTGGTTTCAAGTTTGGCTCCTTTACTTTGGAGGCCAAAATGAATTTCACAGCTGCCTGAGGAGCTGGCCGCAGGCTGCAGCATCACTATTAACTCATGTACAATTATGGTAATGGACTTAACTCATCAGTAAAGGTTTTGACTGACACCACTAAATTTAAGTGTTTGCTCTTCACAAAGTCTGAATGTTTCTAACTTTAATTTAGTGAAAAAAGCTAAATAAATTGCTAAGACTCACCTGCGTCGTCTTCCTTGGAGCTGATGGATCCAGTCGTGCTGCTTGCTCCATCTCCCTCCTCGTCATCCTCCTCCTGAGCCTCTCCGTAGGTACACAGTCCATGATCAAGATTTGTCTCCTGGTTAGCAGAAGTAGAGATGTGGGGCTCGTCCTGGATTTCTGAGGATGCTTCACTGCTCTCTGCTAATGGCTCAGAGCTCTCTGAAATCTCCTCCTCCTCCTGTTGCTCACTATTCTTCTCTTTCTCCTCTTCCTTTGTTGGCCTTCGCCGAGCATCTACTTCGTCTTCTATTTTGGACAGGCTGGCTGTATCCTCATGCTGACCTGGAACCTGTCCATTGATTTGTTGGGGGCTAAATGGTGGCAGAAAAGAGAGTTTGGGTTTCTTGGAGACTGCTGGGGGCTTCTGTTTGACAGGGGAGCTCTTTGTGAGACTTGGCAATGATTCCTGCCTCTCATCTGTTTCCTTTCCGTTTAAGAGAAAGTAACACTGATCCTCTTTTCCATTTAAGACAGCACTATCTGGTGTCTCATCTGTGATACTGCAGTCCAATGACAACTCTTCTAAGAGCTTTGACACTGGTGATGGTGAGGAATTACGTGAATCGTCGTCTGGGGAGCTTTTAAACATGGGTAACACAGTGGGACGCTCCTGGGAGTGAGATTTCTCCAGGGTATGGGGCTTTAGACCCTGAAGGAGGTCCACCCCTGTCTCCTGAGCTTTGCCATTAATCTCCTTCTCTGGCCGCTTGACTGAGCGGAGCTGAACACTCTGTAGTGCAAACGGGGTGATTAGGGGCTTAGGTGAATTTGTGGGACTGCTGGAAGTAGCTGGTTTAGGAGCATCCTTCACTGTTTTCACTAGAGAGGGGGAGGAAGAAGGTGGAACAAAAGCAGGCAGTGGAGGAGGTGGAGGGGGCCCAAAGGAGGGCATGGGAGGGGGAGGCGGAGGGGGGGGGCTGAAGCTCCCATTGAAGGACGAACTGGGGCGGATTAGCGTTTCAGGGGATGGAGGAGGAGGGAATTCTGGGGAGGTGGAGCAAGCAGGGAGCGGGCTCAGAGAAGTTCCCTGTGGAGTGGTTGGTAATGGGGGAGCTGGTGGAGGAGTCGGGGAACCTGCGCTCAAACTTGGTGGAAGAGGGGGAGGGAAGGGTGGAGGTGGGCTGAGAGGGGTGTTCGGAGCTGAGGAGGAGGAGAGGGGCAGGGGTGGAGGTGGTGGAGGAGGACCCGAGCTCTTCAGTGAGTCTGAGGTGTTGGAGGAGAGGGAGGTGGAAGAGGAGGACATGGATACAGAGGAGAGGAGAGACGACTTCCTCTCAGGCACTTTGGGCTTGGGCCGGCCGCCCGAGGGAGACATGGACCTGACGAACGAGGGAACTGGGGTTCCAGCCGTGGGGGTGTTGGACTGGCTGGAGTAGCCGCTAGACGGGGAGGTCAGTCTGTGCACCCTGTCCGGAGAGGAGGTGGATGTTTTGGGCTTCACTGCCATCCCTCCCTCCTGGCCTGGAGCGCCAGGGGCCTGGCTGCTGCTGTGAATCTCACCTCCATTCTGTAGTCCTCCTGGGTGAGGCCCAGCTGTCATGTTATCTGAGGCCGGAGGGGTCTGCGCCCTCTGGTCTCCATGGTTACGAGGGTAGTCCATGTAATAACCCCAGGAATCAGCATAGTCTGAACGCAAGCTGCTGGTGTCACTGTGAGCAGGCGTCACGTGGCATAGCGAGTATACGTTAGACACGCCGCCACAGTTTGCGTTAGCTACTAATGACGCTGCAGAGCTACCTGCACTGATGCTACTCTGACTGCGTGGCCGTAGCACCCAAGGGTCATCGTAGTCGCTGCTCGGGCTGTGAGAGGGTGAAGACGGTGAAGCACCCTTTCCTTTCCCTCCCCTCAGCCCTATCTGTAGGCTCTGCTGCAAACTGGCAATGAGAGTTTCATTAAGCATGGCGCCGTTTGGTTCTTTAGCACCACTGATGGCGCTAACTCCTCCAAGGGGCTTTTTCGCAGCAGGCTTGCGTCTAAGAGAGTCTGTACGGGCTGGGGGCAGTGGAGGCTTCTTGGCCTTGCGAAGGGAGATGCTGCGGGATAGAGAGCGATCACTGTACAAGCTTCCAGAGTCTTCCTGATTGGCCATCTCGCGGCACTCGTACATGCTGTGTCTGGTGGCCCGTCCAGCTGCTGCCCCGTGCCCACTGCCATGGCTACGAGAGCGCAGGCCAGAGTCCAGGTGCATGGAGGTGTAGTAGCCATCGTTGTCCTGGGAGTAGAGTGAGCTTGAATCAGTAGTGGTCCTGGAGGAGAGGTCCAGGCTGCTATAGAGCTGGTTAATAGGAGTGGAACAGCTGGAGGTCAGAGTGCGATGAGGGACCACCACGTTTTCTGGTGTGTCATAGATCCACTGCTCCTCTGGCAGACAGGATGGAGGCGTAGGGGCCAAGGTGCTGTGGCTGTGTACGCTGCTGTCTGAGTGCCCTGACTCGCTAGCGGGTGCTGCAACGATCAGACCGCAATCGTGTTGTGTATGAGTGGGGGTAGATGTGGCCAAGGCCGGGCAGGTGCTGCTGTGGGTGAAGGCTGCTGGACTGGAGATCAGAGGGTCAGTGTTGGAGGAGGAAGCCAAACTGAGTGGTCGGCCTGTGGGGTAAACTGAGACCGGGGAGTGGGACAGCTGACCAGAGGTGTTGAGGGCAATGACCTCAGTGGAGCTAGACAGGGTGGCATTGGGGATGAGTGAGGTGGAATAGGCGGCATGTGGGGAAACTACACAAGCTGGACCTCCACCCCACTCACAGGACTGTGTCGCCCTCACCTCCTGAGACTTGGGCCTGGGCAGGGTGCCTGTTCTTGGGGCGTTTCTCATGTGTACCACTGTATCATCAACCTGAAGCTTTCCAATTTGCCTCTGAGGTGTCGTTTGCTCTTCTGACTTGATGGGGGTGCTGCTATAGATGGGATCAGCGCTGAGCGACACCCTGGCGCCCTGTCGTGGCAGACTGTGGAAACGGGAAGGGTCCCCGTTAAACTGATGTGGCAGCATCAAGATCCCGGAGCTGTCACTACTGGAGATGGATATACTTCCTGTTGAGGAGGAAGCAGAAATGCCGGCCATCTGGGCAGCGATTCCCTGTCCTCTCTGTGCCCGAATTCTTCTCATGGACGGGGGTACAACCTTCACTTCCTCGGTCTGGCAGCTCGAGTCTCTGGTCTCCGAACGTCGGAGGGTTGAGTTGACACTCCCAACTCGGCCCAAAGTGGAGTACTGTCCCGGGATGAACATGGATTGCGGCCGGAGCTCTCCGCCACGTCCTTTTGCTGCCGTCAAAGGAAAGACAGAAAACAAGATGAATGTGTGATCGATCAAAGTATCTCCTGTTTTCTCTTCTTGCTCCAATACCCTTGTTTTTCCTCTCCATAACTTCTTCAGCCACAATGCCTTCTGCTCTTCAGCTAGACTATCAGATAAACTGCGGTCACAGGGAAGCTAATTAATTTGATTTGTTGTAACCCTGCATCATGTGTTAATAACTTCTGGTCTTCATTAAGAAGGAAAGGATATGAGGGGAGACAGGGAGAAGAGAAAGAGACTCTCTACTATGTTTCCCCTGCTTATCTGGCTCTGGCTCAGTTCGATAGAGAAGCAAATAGCCTCCTGGGGTCCAGGACAGGCAGCTGGTGAGGCATGAGGCAGCCACAAACAAGCACATACATGGACACAAAAACTACACACACACACACACACACATCTGCACGCATATACAGTGCTGAGATAGTCATGCAGTCATACAGGACAGAACATACAGAATATGCGGATACAAACACACAGAAATGCAGATACATAACAAACACACACACACACACACTGAACATACCGGCTAGAAAACAAACAATTTGAAGAATGTGCTGTAAAACTGGAAAGGATGTCTAGTGTGTCTCCCATCTGTGGTGGCTCTCCTGTTGATGCTCCTATTCCAAAACATACACACTATTGCGTCCTTTCTTCTCTCTCGCTGTCTCTAAACCACACATACACTCTCCTTTGCTAAAAGCTGGAGTGACAGCTTGGCTGCTGCTGCTGCTGCGATAGATTAAGCTGCAGGTCTACTTCGCAGGCAGCTCTAGAGCAGAGAGAGGGAGGGATGAAGCACTGGGACAATTACCCCGGCCCAGTAATCATGACATTCAGACGCTGTCGTCAGCTGGGCACTAACCAGACTTTAAAGCTCTTTTCCTATCAGGTAATCTTATCGCGCAGAGAAACGACTTTCTCCTTAAATACTGCTGTCACCCTACAGCTCAGAGATGCGTAAATAAACAGCAGCCACGCGGTGCAGTCAGCACAGCACAGTGTCGGCTTAGCGAGCTTAGTGTTTGCTTAACACCCAGCTCAGATGAGTAACTATGGGTAAAGGACCTCTGAACCTTCATATGTGCTATTAACCCCTCATGTGTTTGGGTTTGAGGGTCGTATGTTCTGAAAACATTGAGGCAAGAGAGGAAGGGGGGGGGGCTTTTAGTTGTCCATGATCAAAGGCCAACGTCTGATAATCAGTTCATGTTGGTAAGTAAGACACACATGGGACACATGCTGAGATTATCAATATGGCCCCAGGATTAAGGCACAGAAACACAATTAACACACAGAATTCACAGAAATGAGGCAGCACACAAAGTTGACCCCGAAGGATTATGACACAATACGTATTTAAGTATGGCAAACCCTGTACTTAACTTCTCTTATGTGACATGATTTTCCAACAGGCAAAGTCTAAAAGGAGATTATAATATGGCAAAAGTTTCTCGAGGAGGAAAAAGGGCAATATTAAAACCACAAAACAACTGAAAAGGATTTCATAACTGGTTCTTGGCATTGGATACAGTTAAACAGGGTGGAGGAGAGCAAACGAGGACACTTGGTGTGTGTAACTGAAACAGGGAAAGACTGAGCAGCTGCAGGGCCTTGATCCAACACTGTGGACTTTCATGTGTCATTCTCTCCTTCTCCATATGACATACTCAGAACAATACCAGTGGAGTGTGTATTGTCCAGTCAGTATACAGTTTTGTTGATGGAAACATGATTCCATAGAGTTAGGTTACAGGAAGTCATGAAAGGAGGAGGGCTACTCGTCCAGAGTGTTGGTACAGGTCTATGGACAGTAGAGGGCAACATATAGCCCCACAGTGATCCATACCTAGCTCCTGGTTGATGTTGTCAGGCAGCCCTGATATTGTCTTTCTGCGTTTGACCTTCTTGGGCCGGCGGGACACGGTGTCAGTGTTAATGAGGGAGCGCCGGATGCTCGCCTGTCGGTCAAACACTGCCCCTGGTAGCCGGGAGGGCGAGAGCAAGGCAGGCGGACACACAGGCAAACAGCAGTCGGTTAGTTGGAAGGAATAAACTCAACAACATGCAGAGGTTTTTTTTTTTTGAACATGCAATGTCAACAGGGCGGGAAACCTAAAGGGTCAGTTCAACCAAATAACGAGGCATTTTCTCTCTTCCATCTAGGTATATCTAGCCATGGAGAGAGTTTTGATTTTATTTGCTCAGGGTTTTGAGACACAAGTCTGAGATACTATTAGAGGTAAATGAGAAAATGTTTTTTTCTTATTTGGATGAACTGACCCATTTTCATCCACCAGCCAAAGTGTTGAAAAACAATTCACCAGCCATTTCCACTCTTTTACTAACCAAGTCTTCATTTTTAGAGCAGAAAATGGCTGTGAAGCGTTAAGTGGGGCCACGGTCTAGTAAAGAAAACTTTACTTTTTTGGCTGATTCCCAACCCTGAATACAAGTAACTGTCGACATACATGTAAGAAACAGTGTGTGAGAGGTAGACTTCATGCTATTACCACAAAAACACATGCACAGGACAGATATGAGATGAAGCAAGCACGCGCACACACACAAACACACACCCAGTCTTTCATTCCTCTCAATATCCTTCTCACTCTCTGTCCAGTTTCCCTGGAGGAAGAACAATATCTCACTATGAACTGCTCTTCTTTCTGCTATCTGGCTCGCTGGGGACGGCCTGCAGGCGTTAGGGAAATAGAAACTGATATGAGGGCAGATAGCGTCTATCACATTTCCCCTCAAAGTGACAGAAAAGTCCCTGATCTCTCTCTGTGCCTGTTTTACTCTCTCTTTCTCAATAATCTAAGGTGACAGCAGATGAAGTCAACAGTGATTTACATGGAGTGGGACCACATTAAGCTCTCATTAGTGCCTAAAGGATGATGGGATCACAGTTATATCGGTCTTGACACCGGCAAAATTTAGATGTTGATACTCAACTGAAATTTTTACACCTTATTCTCAAATGATGCAGATGTGAGTTTATATCTTATAATATATTAAACAATATTGCTAACTGAATGAGATGCAATATTTACAAATATATGCATGTATGTGAGAGACATGCTAACATGGGAATAGCGTTGACACATTTTGCTTTGTACGGGTGTTCATCTGTCAAACGCCCTGTGATCTGACATAAAGTCAGTGAAAAAGCCATGACCCTTGGATGAGCTGTCACACAATTTTCAAACACAAACGCACGCTCACACACGCATAAAGGAAGGTGAAGGTCAGTCTCCCGGAAGCATGATGGAAGGGAGGAAAATACAGAGAGATACAGGAGAGAAGCCAGACACCCATGACTGACACAAGCTGTTTTTTTTCCCTCTGTGGATGACTGGGCACAAAAACTGATTAGTCTATATCCACTCAGCCACAGAGGGTTGATTAAAAGAACAGTCTGACAATTTTGCTTATTTTTTTTGCTGCCTTACTGAGAGTAAGAAGGGACAATCGATATGAGATACAGTATATGTGAAAGACAGTTAGAAAACATTTTTTGAAAGCATGTTTTTACTTTTGTTGGAAGGTAACTCTCCTCCTCCTTCAGGCCTCTGTGCTAAGCTAAGCTAACTATGACATGTAGCTTTCTCTCTGTATAAAAAAAAGGTGAGGTTGTCGACGACACGCTGATATTTGCAGGCTCCCAAAAGTTTTACTTCTGCAACATTTCAGGTTTTGTAGGTCAAAACGTTCGGGAGACTGCAAATTCCAATGTTTGGACAACATCTTCACTGTGTCCCTTTTTTTTGGACTCTCCATATTAAACATGATGAGCTAATGCTCGGTGAGACAGATAATCAAATCGTCAGAACATTCCTTTAAGACAAACAAAACAAAACATGATTGATGGTGAGAGATTGAGAGGATAATGTTACAGAATAGACACCATGGATGAATGAGGCCAGATCAAACCTGAGGTAGTTTGATATTTCTATGTTTCTACTGGATATGGAACTAGAGGACCAGGACACTGATGGGGTCTGTTTGCTACTCACTAGTGGTTGAGATTTGGACAACATGGCTGAATGAGTGCAGTTGTCAGGACACGTGCCGTACCTGTGACGTTGATTGCGACTATGTCTGTAGGCACGGCCTGGGCCACCTGCCTCATCTTCTCCTCCGGGGTGGGAAGGGGTCCGGCCTTATTCCATATCACCTTTCCATCAACCTCAGACACCTCCCCTTCTCCTCCCCCTCCCTGCGGGGTCTGGGGCCTCATGGAGAGCTGAGATTTGTCGTCCTCCACCGACGAAGCTGTGGACTGGACGAGAGAGGGAGCAAGTGTTAATGAGACGTAGAACATGAAGTAAGGAACGGGAGTGGGGAGATGGGAGAGAAAGGTGAATGGAAAGAGAGTAGAGACAGAATAGAAACAAGGAATGAAAAAGAAGAAGAAGAAAAGTGACAGGTAATTTAGATGACAAGGGGAGAGGGAGAGAGCGGAATGCAGAAGGGAAGAAAGAGAGGCAAGACAGGAAAGGAGAGTGACGGAGGTGAGAGAGATGAAACATGGATGGAGGGTAATGAGAGACAATGGAAAACAAAGGTATAGTTGTACTGAATTACAGCACAGAACTGATGGATAAAGTAAAACGTCAACGTAAAATGTCAAAAGAATATAAGAAAAGGTGAGTGGGAATAGAGTATTATACAACTTAATTGTCCAAAACCATAACTGACAAATTGTTCAGATATATTGGCACATAAACAGACTTTTATATATTGCACTGCTGTGACCTTTAGCTTGTGGTGCTGTAAACATATTTCACGATCAATCAAACCTAAATGGAAACACACATACGTACAGTACACACTACACAACATACACGAACACGATCAGAGTGAACAGGCAGCGCAGGTTGAGATGGGAGAAAAAAAAGAAGTGAAGAGAAAAAGCGAGAGAATCACTCATGCATTAAACTGTCAGAAGAGTTCTCATTCGTGGAGTAGAATTTACTGCAGAGATGAAACAAAACAATGTTTTAAACTGAGCTGTTTAGTCAACAGCAAAACCTCAGATTAATACTTGTGAAAAAAATGAAGTCAATGCCAAGGTCCATTTGAGCTTAAATTATTAAATGACATAAATTTTTAAATGTGAGGACACACCAGCTTGAGTTCAGAGCCACAGTGATCCACGAATGTCTCTGGTTAAAGATCCGTTTCAGGAGCAAAACCATCAGTCCTTACTTTCACTGCATCAGCCAAAATTAGTTTGTTTGCATCCAGAACACCTTCAGCTTTTACGCCATGGAAAAAAAAAAACAACTGGTAGGAAATCTTCCGTGTGATCTCGTTTCAGATACATTTCCCAGCATCTCCCAAATGTAACCCCAGCAAAAAGTCCCTGTTTCCACTACTGTTTACCCTGACAATCCAAACCCTCAGACTGGCTAGAAAGCATGGTAATTAGTGTTTTCATTCAGACCACGCATGGATAAATGTGAGAAATAAGTGGGAGGCAACAGAAGGGGGAGGAGAGGGAAGAATTTTGGGAAAAGCCTTCAGTGAAAGAGTATGGTGGCAAGCATGGCTTGTTATTCTGCATCATTGTGGCTCATCCAGGAGCCCTGTTTCTCCTTTTGAAGCTACTGTCAGGCAAAGTTAGGCTCACTGGCCTCAGGACAACAGGAAGGGATGGGGGGAAAAGAGGGGTCAGGGGGACAAACAGAGGAAGAGAGGAAGGGGGAAGGAAGGCAGAGAGGAAGAGGATTGGCTGGGGTTGAAGAGAGGGAGAAAGGGGGTGAGTGTGCAGAAAGTACAAACACGGATAACGAGAGATGGGAGTCGACAACAGCATGTTATGGAGGTCACAGGTCGAGGCAGGCATGAAATGAGGGACTAGCATCGAGGGGCTCCGGGGGAGAATGGGGACCCCGATAATAACAGTGAAAGACTCGCTGGCCCTTTCAGGACATCAAATATCATGTCTGAGCTTTTGTGTGTGAGAAATAAAAATAGGGAGATGACAAAAGAGAGAAGAGGAGGCATATCTGGCCATCAAACTTTCTAAACTTCACACTAATGGTCTGCCAGACAAAAGAGCAATGAATAATTTTATAGTAGTAATAGTTTTTGTCTGATTTATTTTCTTGTTGTACTTTATCCCTGTCTGCTTCCTTAATCTCTGCCTCTCTCTTTTTCTCTGTCTCTCTCCATCCATCACTTTCCTATGAAATTAATGGACTGTGACAGACAGAGTGAGTTGAACATTAAATTCAGCTGTGCTTTTTCATGAGAATGTGACTGTTAACTTTAATCTGGTTCTTAATGTTCCATTGATCCCAATCAAATATCCCAAAATCGGATCATATCACAGCGTCAGTCACAGTAAAAGAATTTAAAATCCTAAACTTCTAAAACTTTTTTTTTTTAAAAACCGATATAAACTGATAAACTTATATAAATCATAAAGTTAAAGTGGGAGAAGAGACTGAGCCAAAGCTGAAAAGAAGCTGTGAAGAGACTCATAAAATGTATATCTCCAGTCCCAACCACTAGAGGGCAGACTGATACTGTTTAAATCACTGGAGGTGCGTTGCCGCGTTGATAAATCAGCACTAGACTATACATGCAGTGCCACTGACTGTTATACCTTAACAGTTGTGTGTTTATCTTACATATTTCTATGTATTTATTTGTGGTTAACCTTGTATGTGTGCTGTGCATATGGATACCTTCTTGTCATTTTCATCGTCCTCGTCATCCTGCAGGCTGCTGGTGGATTGAATCGGGTCAGAAAAGGTGGGACCCTGGGAGTAGTACTGGGAGCTCCGGAAACCATCTTTCCTCAACTTGTCACATTCTGGAAACAGACAGAGAACAACAGACATGTTATTGACAAAAGAGAGTTTAATGTATGAGATCTTTGGCTCAAATTATGATTTACTGGGTAGCTATGATGATGACAAATCTCTATTTGATAACCCATCTGAGAACACAGCTTTTGTAGACTGTGGTGCAGAACAGTTTTTACTGTTTGGAGAAACTAACATATTATCAGAGCTTCACTAACCATACAGCCTCATTGACAAATTTGATTTGATTGATTTAAACAGACCCAAATGGTCAATACAAACAGGGGCAATGGAATGTACCATGCACAATGCTTCAAAGGCGACAGTAATTTGTGCATAATTCATATTTAGAATAAATCAGCCAATAACCCAATTATACAACTGATATTTATAAGACATAGCTGTGTAACACTTATAAACTCTACGCAGTATACCATTGGTTTTGTATTTGTGTGTGTGTGTGTGTGTGTTAGTCACGTGAGTGCAGTCCCTGTTGGATGCTGCTGAGCGCTGCTCACACCTCCTCTCGTCACCACCTGCTGCGATGTGAGTGTGATGTATGTGCAAGTGTGTGTGTGATAAGAAGCGAGTTTATAAATGAATGTGTGTGTGCAACCAAAAGAGGGGGGTGTCAGTTTCAGTCTGTCACACACAGATGGCAGAACTGTCCCCCTCTCCCCCCCCACCCCCCCTTGTCTCAGGGAGCATTTAGCACATCATCTCCCTCTATGACTGTCTGCTGATAGATCTAATAGTGCATCCTTTGTCTGGTGTTTTAATAGCTAATTATATGCATGTAGTATTACTTCTAACGCCTCAACTAAAACACACAGTAGAGGATTCTCCGCGCTTCTACTGCTGCCTGCGGGATAACGAAATCTAACAAACTGTGAGGGGAACCTTACGTGGATCTGTTTTAATGAAGCAGATCTTGAAAAAAGTCTGAACATGTCCCTCTCACCTACAGTACCAACCTAAAAGCTTTCATGACTATTTTTGTGTGTTTCCCTGCATATTATTCATACAAATGTAAAAAACCCTCTGGGCCAGTCTTTCATCTTGCATCTTGGGGATTTATTCAGTGTGTGATGCCCAATCAGGACTCCTTTTGGTGAATTACATGTATACCAAGGCACATGCACAACAGTTTTAGCCTTGCACCTCAAAGATGCTGCTTGTGATCCCTTTTATGTCCCATCCATCTCCATAGCCAATTACAGCCCATCTCTATGGAGCGACACACCGGTGCATGTATAATACTGTCAGTTAATGGATCCTAATGGGGTTGGCAAACATTGCTACTGTAACAACAAGCCGATGTGGCAGTGTCGTGGAAGAAGGGATTTAGGAAGCATGATGATAATGAGCATGATGACGGGGAGCGGAGCTGATTGGTGACAGTTAATAAAATAAATAAGCTCTGATGAGCTGAGAGCTGCTTGTTGCTAGGCAGAACTGAAGGGAGGGGTAAGTGACACCAGAGGAGAATGAAGGATGTTGTGTACAAATATAATATAATGATATGAACGGGGTATACCAAAGTGCACCAAATAGGCACCAAAAATGTGCATAAGATAGTCACTGAAATGGCAGTGTAATGTCAAAAGTGGAAAACTACACATATTTAGAGCCTTGATAACTAATCTCCAAAAATATTTTCAAATACAATTTGATCCTGGTTGTGTCCGCCAGTTTGCAGTAAACCTGTGACCTTGTATGTCTCTTCACTGGTGTTTGAGTCTGAACACATCACCATTTACTATGCAACTTTTCTTTAAGGTAGTCAACTTAACTGTCAATGCAAAGTATGAACCTAATGATGATGGATATGGGATTATATTGGTTAACTGTCTTTGATTCTCTGTTTGACGTTGCAAGAGAAGCTTGGATGCAGAGGGGAGTAAGAAAAATATTTCTTTAATTAGTAATTAGTTCCCTGATGTATTTGGACGTGCTGGCACGCTCTCTGTAACTGACGAGCCGTCCGCAAGAGCCTCGACGCTTAACACGAGCTTAAACCCATGTGAGTGTGAAAGGAACAAAGAGAGGATGCACGTTGCAATCTGATTGGTTATTGATTATTCTGCTTTGCATAGCAGAAAGCAGACTCGTGTACCTTGCTATGGCCATGCTGGTGGCACTGAATTGAATGACTTGTTACAGGAGCTGCACGTGGTTTACACACCACACATAGTTATAACTATTATAAATATGTGAATTGTGGACATTTAATTCCTACAGAGATGGTTGTATCACTGTATTTAGAGACAATGTTCAATAAAACTGTCATTACTATGAAAGGACTAAACTTATTTTCCTAAGGCTGGGCTGTAACTAAGTGTATGACCGCCACTCTCAGCTTCCCGGGAAGACACAAGAGCGAATACACACATCAAGACTTAAATGAACAGCACAGATGCTCTCATTGGACACCTGTTGGCTTTCAGTTAGGACCCCTGGGGCTGGTAGGTGATGATAGGAGGCTAGGATGGTGGAAAGATAAAGGGGGGCTGCATTAATCCTACCTCCCAGGTGGTGTTTTATCTATGTTTGCGTACCAAGCAACATCAATATTGCAGGATGTGATGTGCAACAACAACAGCACAGGGGTCAAACAATGGGAAAGACAAAGAAAACGTGTGTGTGTGTGTGTGTGTGTGTGTGTGTGTGTGTGTGTGTGTGTGTGTGTGTGTGTGTGTGTGTGTGTGTGTGACGGCAGGTGACTAAGTCTTTACACACCCTAAGCATCACGTTACATACGCCTCCTCTCCATTTACCTCTCTTTCTCCCTTTATCTCAGTGTCTTTTTTATCTGTTGACACACAGGGCCACCCCAGCATGTACACAAGCCTTTTACTGTAACACACCACCCATGTACGCACACACACACACCCATATACACACTTTTAGCTTTTCTCACACCTGCCTCTAAAATCTTTATCTGAGGAATGGGCGGACACAACGCAACTTTCCCAGGAACTCTGGGTGAAAACAGGTGCCAGTATCGACTGGTTTTCCCACTTCCTGTTCTGGGGAAAGTTGTGAGAATATTAGAAAGTCGTCACTCTTTTGCGACTTGACTCCCTGTGTTTGCTTGCCAACAAGGGTGTGCCTAATCTCGTCTAATTGTACTGGACAAACAGGAAGAAGAGGATCTCACACTGTTGTGTTGTTGGCTAAACACAAATTACATGTTTAGACATTTTTACAGCTGTGGAGAACTCGATGTGTTGGGGTCTTCACCTTGATGCCATGAAATGTGATCATGTCTATCAACATTCCCATAAGTGATACTTGTCATGGTGTACATTTTGGTACATTTGGCTGAAGGTTGGGAATTTGGACATGTCAAATTACATTTGCATTCTGGGAAATTGTAAGGAACACTTTTCCTAACTTTTTGACATTTTCTAGACCAAGCAATGAATCCATCAATCGAGAAAATGATCTGCGGATAAACTGAAAATATATTGTTAGGCCTAATAAACAACCAAGATTTTCTAATGTCTGTCCTGAAAAATACTCAATGCACACAAATTTTGCTAATGAATCCTCAAGCTGTGGACTGCTGGCTATTGATGTTTGGTGTCACTCCTCATGATGTGAATATTCATCAAACCCTTGAATATGTGAGCCTGCAGCAATGCAAACCCAGCACCTTCCAACTGATTCCTCTAACCCTGATGTTCTCTGTGTTCATGGATCCTCTCTAAGTTTGGTTAGTGATCCAATTTGCATCATCCTCACCTCGCAGTGCAGTCTTGAGGTTGACTTTGGCCTGACGGTGGAGATCTTCTACGCAGGGCGGCCTGCTGCCTGGTAGGAAGACGTTCTCCTGCTGGTGCCACGGAGCTGTGTAGTGAACCGTCCACTTGCTCTCCTCATCCAGGTTAGACACCGCTGCACAGACACACATAGCAGGTTATGGAAATTAGTTTATCATTCATTATCTTTCAAATTTCACTGGCCATGATGGATCTCCTGAAGGATATTTTTCTTCATCATCCGTCTTCTACAGCACACTATTGTTGTAACTCAAGCCACAGTTGTAATCTAATGGATGATGTAATTTGCACTTTTACCAACTTTTTGCATCAGCTCACCAATTGTAAGATCAGACCTTTCCATTATGGATCAGAAATTTTCCCCTCCAAGTAGAACTGGCTACCGAAAGGGTTTGTTTATATTTGTAGAAGAAGAGGAAGGGGAAGGACAGCGAGGTGCTTTGTATCGAGGTGTCAGTCTTCACACCAACAACATGACACGTATCTGAGACATCCCACAGTTAGTAGGACACACATCTCAGAGGGCGAGTGATAAACTTGCTGCAACAACTTGGAGGGAAACTTCAGCCCTGTTCAGACCTGGCATTAACATGCTCCTCAGCTGATCTGATCTCAGTTGGACAGCTATAAGCACATCCGTTCACATCTGGAATTAAAACTGTATCTCCAGATCCATCTCTGGTGACCGCTTGTGACTGGATCTCACTTCCTCGCTCTATATACAAATAAACATGTACATAATTCCTGTTAAAACCAGATGCGCTTTTGTTCTTAGGCAGTCCAACTATGACAGACGGGTCCGTTGTCAATGTGAGTGAGAGGGAGAAAGCGGAAGGGAGGGGCTGAGCAAATCATTGCACAATGAATTCAGGTTTTACCGATTTGAAATGGTAAAAAAAAATTAAAAAGTAATAAAAAAATCTGTATGTGGCAGTCAGCGGGGATATTGTGGCGGGCCACCACAAATAAATCACTTTAAATGATCAGATTACCCAAGACGCATGTTAATGCCAGGTCTGAACAGGGCTGCTGACCAGCAGATATCCAGTTCACAAAATGTAAACAAACCACTGAAAATGACCAAAAGCGAGGTTCGTTATACTTACAAAGCCAGAGTACGTCCTTTCAAGAAACAGTAAAGAATTATGACAACACCACTGAAGACAAACCCAACTGTATAAACGTTCAATACACAGTATATTAGTCTAAATAACACAACATTCAAGGTCAGGTAATACAATGTGGAACACAACATAAACAACCAGTTAAGTTGAAACCATTTCCACAAAACAGAGAAAATAACCTATTTTATCTGATTCTCTAGAACACTTTTTCCTCGAGGACTTCTCTCAGTCAGGCATGGTTGATGAAGTATTAAGAAACTGAGCTTTATTCTCATTTGTAAGCCCTTGTAACAAATAGCTGAGGTGTTAATATCAACGTAATGAAACATACACACTATCTAAAGTTCAGGCTTACCAAGTGAGCGAATCCAAGCCAAAGTTGGTGATCGTGGATGTAGTACTATTTCCATTTAAACAGCAAAAGGTTAGTCAAGACCACCATCTGTGTGTCCCTGTCCTGACCAAAACACCATGTCCATCTGACTGGGAGAGAGGGACAAGGAACCGGGAGGAAGGGGACGGGTCATGTAAAGGGGCTGGGGCTGTTTTTGTTTGAGGGTTTTTTCACAGGTGCTAATGAGCCATCCTAGGTTGAATGGTGAGTGTGTCTGTCGGGGGAGGACAGAAGGGCTCCAAGGCAGAGGTATAGGGTGGGGGCCTGCAACTGCAATTTAGTCAATGGACAAAGTGTGAGACAGTTTGTAACTGCTTTGATATACAAATAACTCCTCACAGGATTCAACACTGACCTTTTTCAAAGCTCTTACGTAAGTGACCAGTTCAACTTTACTTATACGTGACCATTAGAGATCTTCAACTTAATGAGTACAGCAACGCTAAATGTAGTTTTCTAGGTGGATTTATAGGGGACAGTGCAGTGTGTCATGCCCTGCTACTGCTGGTAATTAATAGTGTAACGTCTGTGCAGGCAGTTTAGGAATGGGTGACCGTTAGGAGCGGCTCCAACAGAGGAGAGGGGTCATTGTGTTTATTCATGTTCCCTCTCATTCTGTTCCCAAACACCTTTTTTTTGTCTCTGATCTCTACTCTCTCCTTTTTTCCTCTCCTGCCAAATTAAAACTCCCCATTCCCATTTGTTGCTTGCTCAGTCATGTAAGAGTGCAAATATCACATGTACACAGTAAGCCTGGGTCAAACAGCGCTTGTTTGCTTGAAGCTATAACAACAATATGGGTGAGGTGTAACACCCAAAGCAATACAAGCTGCAGGAATGCAGTGTGGTGTATGTTCTGTCACCGATTGATAGCTATCTCAGTTGAATCAATGTCTTTAGGGCGGCAATTAACAATTATTTTCTTTAACGGTTAATGTGCGTATTATCTTTTTTGATTAATCATTAGTCTTGTTTTGACGGGAGTCATTGAACACTTATGGCACCTACTGCTTGCTGCATGGGATGGGTGCAAGCACTCTAGATAGTGTGTATTGATTGTCTTCCCCTGTGGTTAGACATGCTGTCTTGCAGCGTGCCTGCACTGGTCAGAATAATCAATCAAATACATCACGAGGCAAAACTCGTCTGACCACAAGTTTGGACTGGAGAGCTGCACGAGGCCGACACACAAAGCCACACACTCACACTAGGTTCAGTTGTAGCAGTAAATGTGAAGGTTAACCTTGTAGCAGGATTGAATCCACTCAAAAATATCTGTCACATCCTTTGAGCAAGGCACAGCCACCGCAGGTGTGTGTGACTAAGAATACATGTTTGAATCATCCTGCCAGGCTAAGTAAAGATTATAAAAACTCAATTTCTTTCAAACAAAATTTAAAATGCCCTTGCCCTCTCACCCACACTCAACACAGGTAGCCCTCCCCCAGCGTCCATTTCTGACTATGGGGCTTGAATAGACCTCAGTCAGGCTATAGGCAGACCAAGAACACGGTGACTATGGACACAAAGCCTTTATTGTCCCTCTGCATGAGTCTCCACATCAGGCCTTTCAGTGCCACAATACCTCCTAGCCCCTCATCACACTCACTCTCTCACACACACACACACACACACACACACACACACACACACACACACACACACACACACACACACTGGACTGTGGCGCGAAAGTCTTTCAGAAGTTCACTAATCCCTCTGTCCATTTTCACATCCCCTCTCTCCCTACGCCCATTAACAAACACAGACTGAGGGCAAACAGGCTGCTGAAAACTCTGAAAGACAAACTACCCACAAGGTGCATCAGAGCTTAAAGTGCAGGAGGCTACCTGCAGTAATCCCTGGGAAAAGTGTCTGCACACACATGCACGCCAGAGGTATTAGCTGTCATGATTAATAACAGTGGTTGAATTGTATTGACAGTATCTACGTTAATCCTGAAGTGGGTCCCCGATCGCCCACCAATCAATATTGAGCATTACTGCATGATACAACTTTCTGTGTTTCATAAGGGTCAGCATGGCCTTGGTTCAGGTTAGCTTTTTAAATATATATCATACATTTATCTTATACAAAGGAAAAATTGGTAAATTGTGGCCATGAAAATTATGCTCCACAAAAGGGTTGTAAGTATAAGATCATCATAATTAAGAGTTACTTTGAGGAAATCTGCCTCTTTACAGGCTCTAAAATCTGACTGAACTGTTTTCTAACTGACATGTTTTAACTGGTAAAATGTCAAGAAAGTCCTCATACCCTTGAAAGACTATTTTTTTTACTTTAACAAAAAAGCTTTGATCCACATTGGTGACATGGAACAAATGAACCACAGAGAACCTCCAGAACACCCACTGAAAGTGAGCAATGCTGAGCTAGGCGTCTACATCCTCCTGCAAAATAAAAGCTGGATTGCAGTGGAATACCCAGGTGCTCAGCTAAGGAGCAAAGTGCAGGCGTGTGCAAGATGGATACAAGATAAGAAGTACAAAAACGCTGAGTTGATGATTAACAATATAACCTCAGCCTTGACTTCGACACACACATGCACAGGCTATATATACACCTGAGATTATATTCTGCACAAGCAGCTTTCCCTGCATCAACAAGGTCTTTGTCAAACATACTCACTTGCTTAATACACAGCCACTGATAAAATAATAGCATTGGAGTATTAACAAATCCTCCTAACCATAATCTTCATGGTACAAAGACATAGTGTGGCTTCCTTTATTACCAAGCTCAAGTTAGCTGAAACATTTATACCTAAATAAACAAGTTGTGATTTTAAGCGCCTCCAGCTGCCACCTTTACAAATGCAGTTGGGTCATTTAGTGCTAATAGTTGTCGGCTCTGAGAAGTCTTGGCCCAGTGGTTACCTGGTAACAGGGTGCAACAGAGAGTTGTGTCTGGGCTCAGCAGAGGAAGCGCAGGAGGTAGTACGCCCACAGAAACCATTAGTTGAAATTAAGTAATTTACAACTCATTAAGGCTGCTATAGATTCACTTCTCAAAAAGCCTCAATGAAGCAATGAAAATGATTATGTAAAACAGTTGAAACCAATGGAAAGCTGTTGGGAAATTCAGGCACTCAATCCCCAATAATATTCCTGTCAGAAATGATGCAAAACAAGACTGGGAATTTATTTCAGCGTTCATTCACAAACTAACTGCTGTTCACTTGTTTTACTTTCAATGTGGAAACTAAGTTCAAACTACTCAAAACACACATTACTGATCAGCACTGAGCAGAAGTAAAAAAATCTTACCCTTCCTTTTGAAGTATTTAATCACAGATTTTAACGAGGTCCCGATAAAAACCATTATTCCCGTTGAGTGTATGTGTCTCTCACTTGAAAAAGGAGTGCCCTAATGAGGCACAAAAAAACTGAAACTGGACAAATCCAGGGAAGACGACGGGATGACGGAGGGCTGGCGTCGGCTCCTCCGCTCACATTCTCACTTCACGGCTGAGTGTGTGTGTGTGAGCGTCTTCTACGCTGACAATGAGCCTCTACTCCTGTCCGTCTCTCTAAACACACACACACGGTCCACCACTCCCCCCACCACCACCACCAC